TCGGCAATAACGCGGAGATCAATAGTAATTGTGGAATGTGATTTGTGCCAGCTACGTTATCAGTTTCTCCTCCTTGAAGTTCTCCTGATTAGGAGTTTGAGTTTATCCCCCTGCCTATTCCCAGAGTGGATCCCTATATGAGATAAAGCCCCAGGGCAATAGAATCTTCGACTGTACCACAGTCAACAGACGGTGTCAGTGGCACAGAGTGCTCTAATACGCTGAAGCATAGGTCACACGAACCTCGCATTGCATACTTAGTAGTACTTCGTACGAGTTCACGCGATTAATCCCCTGCGCAATTGAAATCTGCCAAGATTCAAGGCTCCCCCACAGAATTTGTTTTAGCCGTCGACAAACAAGACAGCCATTCAGAAGGTAAAGCATATCTCTAGTGCATTATCTTCCACTTTGAGTCCTTCCCATCATATCAGGCCATGCCAAGTTCAGTCTCAGCCGAGGACTCTCCACCTCCACGAGGGAGTCATGACATTACCGGTAATGTAATTTATAACTACACGATCGACTGTGATTGGACGGGAGCAAAACATGGTCCCCTCCGAATGCGGCATACGGCCACGCCAAGCCCGAGACGCTTTGGGCGCTCCAGGGTATTCAAAGCTTCCATGCTTGATCTTCCTTTCAGGGCTTGGGTTTACAAAGGTTTATGTTTGCCTGCTATATTGTCGTCATTCTGCAAAAGGGTTACAAAGATATAATTGAAGATCCGGTGACAGAGATGCCGAATAGAGCTAGAGGTGACGTTGTAAGCACGTGGATCACATTATATCCGGCCTTGATCTCCTACATGAATACATGAAGCGGTCTTGTTGCAAAAATTTTCCAAGTGGATCACGACTACCAATGGGAAATCGGTGTCGCCGATATTGATGGGTATTCATTGGTGCTACCATTTGGGCTTTATGTATGTTCGTTAAACCCGACTCACGGCCGATACCTCTCTCTGCCCAAATGGGTTTCCGAGTAAATTTCAAGCATTTCCATGGAATCGCTGAGCCAGAGAGTCAGAGAGAAACTGAGGCTGAAGGGAACATTGTTTTTGCCTTGGTGGCCCGCTCAACGCGGGAGAGGCTCGTGCCACCAAAGGCTAATACTGTAATACTGTAGCCGCTAAGATGTGCCGTCAGCCACTATCGTTGCCTTTTCTAATGTATTACTTAGTCAACTTTTATCGTCAAAATTTACCGCAAGTATGCCGAGGACAACCGAGTCCTTACAATGGAAGTTGTCTACGTTGGACTTGGAATATCGTTTGTACCCAAGTTCCGCGCCAGTCTCGTATTGTTACGCGTGTCACAGTTCCATCCACTTTCCGCACTAGGCCTAATATGGGCATATGGTAATTTAAATGACTATATACAGCAGGTAGCAGATCCCACCTTCCTTCCTTCCTTCTCTTCTTCTGTGAATCCCTCAACCACCATCTCTCCTCTTGTACAGGTATCCAAGCTTGCCTTACACTTTATTATATCATTTGTTCTGTGGTACATGCTCTCAGATCATTCACCCTTGTGAGAAAGACAAAAGATATCTGTTTCCAACAGCAAAGGCCAAGCACTCCTTTCAATCCGATTCCGCATTTCAGTAGCAAGCGATCTTGCATCACCCTGGCGGCAACAATACATGACTGCGACTGCGACAGCGACGTTTCCAGCATCCATAGCGATTGGCCCACATTATCCATCGGAACCAGTCCTTGCGCCAACTTCGGTCTCACGACAGAACTGCCCCGACATCCAAATATAAGACCCAATTGCATCATCCCATCTCTGTAGACTCGTCTTAACTGGCTAGCCTCGAAACCCCTCTGCGAAACTCGAACGAACTAGATCCGCGACCAACTCGGCAGATAGCAGCAACTCCCGCAGGCGATTTTACCCGTTTTCCCTCCAAAGCGCCATTTATATAGAATCATCATGGGTCTCGAGAAATTTAACCCTTTCAAAAAGGATCGCCAGAACTTCCCGGGTGTTGTTATCCCGTTGGCTGGTGCCCCTGCCCCCGCGCATAGCCCTAACATCACCGAGAATGACGACAAGGAGACCAAGAGCTTGGACCTTGCATCTTCTTCGGAGAATGGCGCTGCCGGCTCTCAAATTGGATCTACTCTGACTTTGGAAGCCCTTCGCGCAGAAATCGAATCTGACGTTGCTACTGCGACTCATGACTCGGCCTATGATCGTATGTTTTCCTCTCATGTACTTTATTTTCTCCCCAGTCGAAGTTTCCAGTGACACGATTTTTGGATTTTGGCTGATTCGATATAGGCAAGGCGAAGGTGATCAACAGGGCTTTGCAGGATATTGGCATGGGCCGGTATCAGTGGCAGCTGTTCTTCCTTTGTGGTTTCGGTTGGACTGCGGATAAGTAAGCATTCTTCCTTCTTTTGCTGCAATCAGATTACTAAATTCTATCTTCTAGCCTCTGGCTTCAGGTGAGAAATAATTACTGTACGTCACGTGGACTAAACTAATCATGTGTAGGGAGTTGCCCTAACTTTGACACCCATTTCTTACGAATTCGGACTCTCCAGTACATGGGTGCGTTTCACGACCTGTGCCCTGTTCTTGGGTCTCTGCATCGGTGCCTCATTCTGGGGCATTGCTTCTGATATTGTTGGCCGTCGTCTTGCTTTCAACACTACCCTCTTCCTTGCTGGTGCCTTCGGTCTAGCTTCCGGTGGTGGCCCTACCTGGATTGGGTAAGATCTCCTATGAGAAATCCATCCGAAATTACGCTAATTAATTAATTTAGAACATGTGCTCTTTTTGCTTGTCTGGGTCTTGGTGTGGGTGGTAACCTGCCCGTCGACGGTGCTCTTTTCCTGGAGTTCTTACCCTTCGTCTCTGGTAACATGTTGACCATGTTGAGTGTCTGGTGGCCCGTTGGCCAGCTGATTGGCAGTCTGCTTGCCTGGGCCTACATCCCCAATTATAGCTGCGCGGGCTATGAGGGCTGCACCAAGGAGAAGAACATGGGCTGGCGCTACTTGGTGCTCACCCTAGGCGCCATCACCTTCGTCATGTTCATCTTACGATTCTTCTTTTTCCACCTATATGAGTCTCCCAAGTACCTTCTCTCTCGTGGGCGCCAGGAAGAAGCCGTCGCCTCCGTCCATGGCATCGCCTACAAGAACGGCGCCCAGACCTGGTTGACCAACGAGATCCTCAACGAGATCGGTGGCTACCCCGAGGGCCAGGAAGAAAAGACCAAGCTAAGCTACGGTCAAATCATCGGCCGCTTCTTCTCCAAGTTCTCCATGGAGCGCATCGGCCCTCTCTTCGCCAACAAGCGCATGGGCTTCAACACCGCCCTCCTCTGGTTCTGTTGGGCCACCATTGGCATGGGGTACCCCCTCTTCAACGCCTTCCTGCCCCAGTATCTCGCCACATCTGGCGGCGAAGCCAACTCCAACTACATTACCTACCGCAACTACGCTATCACCTCTATTGTCGGTCTCCCCGGCTCCATCTTGGCCTGCTGGACTGTCGAGATCAAGTACATCGGTCGTAAGGGTACAATGGCAATCGCTACCCTCATCACCGGCGTCTTACTGTTCTGCTTCACTGCCTCTACCAACTCCGACATCCAGCTGCTGTGCAGTTGTCTCGAGGCCTTCTTCCAGAACATCATGTACGGTGTCCTGTACGCCTATACCCCAGAGACCTTCCCGGCTCCTAACCGTGGCACCGGCACTGGTATCTCCAGCTGCTTGAACCGTATCGCTGGTCTCTGTGCTCCGCTTGTGGCTATCTATGCCGGCAGTGCAAACCCTAACTCGCCTATTTATGCCTCTGGTGCTTTGATTCTGGCCTCGTTCGTTGCTATGTGTCTCCTCCCCATTGAGACTCGCGGTAAGCAGACGCTGTGAGGATCATCGACAGCCAGTGCGATTCATCCAATGTTCGAAAGAATAGACGCAAACGCCAAAAATAAAATATACAACAGAACAGGAAGAGGAAAGCAGATTGCCGACACATTTTACATCCCTCTTCCCTGCATTGCGATCAGAATAGATTATGGATTACCAGAGGTGTATACTGCTTTCTGGCAGGAAAGATCCGCGCCAGACGGAGTGTTGAAGCCAGCACCTTCTTCCAGTCCTCTACCATCGGATCGAAGAAAGGGACCTTTTCCAGTTGAACATTTCTCCCAATACAAGATACCAACTTTGTGATTTTTGTGAATATGTACTACTACCTTACATTTACATATGTTCCATGATTATGGTATTTTCGATTCGCTGATTCCAAGTCTATGACTATTTACATATGTATCATGAATGCAATTGATTTGATCAAACAAGTTTTTAATTCCAATAAAAATTCGGATATCCTTTTTCTTGTAAGACCCAAGATGCCAAGATTTCGTAGTGAAGTGACGTAAGAACCATAAGATGGAAACTTGCAATGGAGACGCCGAAGTACAGGGATTGAAAGTCTAATCTACTACTGACTACAACGGTCAAACCTCACCTCAGAAGGCAACGAGAACAGCAAAACCGATAATAAACGACGGAGACATAATGTTGCTGCATCAGTATGGGCCAGAAAAGCAAGTGATAACAGACAAAAGAATAATACGAGGAAAGATGCCTAAGGGAAAAAAGAAGATAATCCTTAACAAGTATGTAAACCCTATGAAACGATAGCAGAAAGAAACTCCATTCCAGCCCGGACAAGCACCACAACTCAGAGAAAACGAAGAAGAAAATCCCACATCCCCCATCTTCCACTCGAGACCACAGAAGAATGCAGATATTCTTCGCCGGGTAAGATCCTTAACGCGCAAACAGCTCGATCCAGATAAAGCAAAAGGAAAATAAGAATGAAGATAAAGAGACAGTGCCATGAGAAGATAGGGTCAACCCAGAGAATAAGAAGAGAAAAAAGAGATCCGTAGAGAACATCGCTCATAAACAAGTGCTGGAAAAGTTATGATGACATTAAGACCGAAGCCCTCGAGATTGGTATGTTCGTCTATGACACCGGCTGATTACGACGACCACGCTTCTCGAGGAGTGTGGCGCCGTCGAGGGTGAGCTCGAATGGTTGGTGGGACTTGCGGAGGGTGCTCTTTGCCGCGGAGGCGACGTTAGCGTCGTGCATGCCGTAGCCCTGGCGGGCCTTCTGTTGGTGGGGAGCAGTTCGTGCTTGGGCGGCGCTGCTCTGGTTGCTGAGGTTTGTGGAGCGCAGCTTGGCTTCCATGCCGGCCATCTCGCCGGTGCCTTGGGCCTTGGTTACCTTTTCTGGGGGCTGGCCGCCTAGATGATGGTTGTATTCTGGTTCGTCGTCGTAGTCTTCGTTGAGGGCGCCGAGGGCCGACTGGAACCCAGCTGTGCCGGTGCGGTTTGTGTTGCGCACATTGGCGCGACGCTTGCCTTCTTCTTCTTGTCTGTGGACTGCGTAGCCAACGTCGAAGACCTCACGGAGGTTGAATGCGCCGGGAGATCGGAAGTCCATACGGCGGTCGGATGTTACGGAGGGCTGGTCGAGGAAGCGGGCACTGGCAGGTTGGTAGGGGCCGTGCTCGGCGCTGATTGAGTCGAATTGTTGGCCCTTCTCAGTGGTTTGGAGGGGTGTGGCCAAAGGGGGTGCGTCGGCGGCGGCGGTGGTTTCCTCGTCTGTGCCGCGGATCCAGGGGTGCTCAAGGAATTCCTTGATCGTGAACCGCTTCTCGGGGTCCACGGTGAGAAGGTGAGAGATCAAGTCCTGGGCAGACTTGGAAATGTCATCCCACCATGGTGACAGGAAGGTGTATTGGCCGCGTGCGACTTTCTCGGTGAGGACCTGGATACTCTCGTCGTAGAATGGAGGGAAACCGCATAGCAGAGTGTAGAGCACACATCCCATTGCCCACATATCTACACTTTTGGAGTAGCGCTCATCCTTGACGATCTCTGGAGCAGTATACCCGACTGTACCGCAAGGTGTCATCGTTTGGCTATCCCAGATCACCTTGGACAGACCGAAATCTGCGAGCTTGATCTTGCCAATGCCACCTGAGCCATGGCCAGGAATAAACTCTCCCTCATCTTCTTTATCTTCATCGCCGGGTTGCTTGGGCTTAGGGTTTTTGGTTGGGACATAGGGAATCGGGTAAAACAGGAGATTTTCGGGTTTGATGTCACTTTAGCAAGTGTTAGCTCGGGATCAACGTCATTGGGCTGGCGGGTAACAAACCGATGAACGACACCTGATGTCTCATGCAAATATTCAATTGCTTGTGCGACCTGGGTGATAACATGCCGACTGAGATCCTCGCTGAAGTAGGTCAATCGCACGATCTGATGGAATAATTCGCCGCCGGGGCAAAGCTCGAGGACGATGTAGTAATATTGTCGTGATTCGGAGAAGTCGATCAGTTTGGTGATATTGGGGTGGTCAAGGTTGCGCATAATCTGAACCTCCTTGAGGATATTTGCTCGCTGAGAACATGAGAGTTAGCGACGAAGCAGGAGATAGAGGAACGCTGGAAGAACGTGAACAGGGGCAGTTGGTCTGGCTGTCAGAGGCGAGCCACAATTGCCACCGAACAGGTAGAGCGTGAGAGATAAAATTGCGCACCTCGGCCGCCTTGGGGACTTTTTTGACGGTGGGATAGTGAGGATCGTTCTACACAAACATATTGGCGGGCTTTTCTACATGGACGGATTGCGCACCATGTAGTGAAGAAAGAAATCAAGGAAAAGAAGGAAAACCACTGGTGTCTTACCTGATTGCTATTCATTTCGAATTTCCGGACGACCTTGATGGCCACCTCGCCATATTCCGTTGTGGTATCCTTAGCCCGGTAGACGTTGCTAAAAGCACCATCGCCCATCTTTTCCACCAGGATCCAGCGATCCAGGCCCGGGTATTTGGGCATTTTAGATCGACTCAAATTTTCTTCTGCGACCAAGCGTTCAATCTCAGCAGAGCGATCTTGCCTGACCTGTGAATCAGCCTGCTTCTGGGGCGCATTGACCCTGCCTTCGGGCCCAAAAGCTTCCAAGGCGGGTGAATATTGGCCTAATGGCTGTCGCTGTTGCTCGGCATGAACGGTAGAAACGTCGGTGGTGGGCTCGGAGTGAGGGGTGACTAGACGGGCTTGCTTGCCATGCCTAATGAAGTTCTTGATATTCTGTATTGTGCTCATAATGCCGGGTCGTGGGTCGTCGTGGAAAGGATTTGCGACAGTGTCACAGACAGGGAAAAAACGGGAAGAAGGCAGTCTAGGCAGGTTCAAGAAGAGAAGGAAGGTAAAAGAGTCTCCACCTCAAAAATCAGAAAAGGTAAGTTAAAAAAAGCAAGAAGGAAAAGGGGGAGAAATGAGGTCAGATATCTGGCGGGGGAGAAGTCAACGCCTATGACGATGTGCGATCTTCGTGCGATGTCATCGTTGTTGCGGCTTGGCCACCGCCAAACTGGTATTCCCAGTTTCCAGTTCTTTTTTATATTACTTCCTTCTGGTGTGATATATCACCTTTGCTTCTCAAATTACGACGGTTTCTAATATATTGAACCTTCCCTAGTCTATTTCATCACCATCTGGGGTGCATACCACAGTGTAGATAGAGCCTCGCCAATGCCTACTCTCGACATCATAACCCCAGATCTCACGACCATGCCGGTTTCCGTAACCGAATGATGAAAAGCAACCCCGGCTTGTGTGGAGAATATACCGTCATCACCCATCGCCACATGCTTGTATCCGGATTCACATTGTTTGTTCTATATTGCATTGACTCTTGCTATTCGTGCGGAGGGGTCCGGTATTGGCAATATTGGCAATATTGGCAAATCTAGGAGTGGAATGTGATGTGAGTCTGTTAGAGACCTGCAGGACCCAAATATGCCGTAAGGAGGATGTAAAAGATTAAAAAAAGAAAAATGCAAGCCACTTCGTGTCTCAGGAACAGATTAAACATGCTCCACATGGCCTCGAAGATCGAAGTACTCCGTACTGTAGAAGGTGTTAAAGATGAGCGTAGTGGAGTGCATGGGCCAACAGGAAATGGTCGATATCTCCCCTCTGGCATTTGATCTTCCTTATTGGTGTATTGCTCTCTTCACATACCCAGTTTTGATCGGAGGGGAGGTTGAGACTTAAGACGTGGCTGCCCAGCCACACACGAATATCGCCAATCTTCACTCTTCCACTCCCCGTCTCGCAACGAGACAGCCTGACAAAGCATACTGATCGTCCTTATCGGACTCGAACCTCGACTGATCGACTCCCTTGCATCGTGCAGAAACAAAGCCGCTGCTTGAGAACCACCAACTTCCATCATTGGTCGCATAATTGGCCGCAGAGTGCTTTCGCGCAATGCGACCCTTGCGGACCTATTGAAACATTCCAGGTCATGATCCATATCTAAAGGCTAATCACCGCCAAAGCGACCGTGGATTGTATCTTCATCTGTCCCAGAGATGCCGGGCATGGAAGTGACGGGACCGGAGGGTTCGCAAGCACTCGAACGGCCGCTGCTGAGGTCTCACAAGGCACTTCCTCGGCGGGGCATGACCATTCCCAGTATCGAAGTTATCCAACCGGTCTCACCGGATCAGAATAGGACACTCAACGCGACGCCTGCGCCGCCCTTGACACCTCCCGATGCAGGCCACGACGTCGACCGAACCCCCCGGAAGATGGATTCGTCCCTGTCCGACCTTACAACAACTGGGATGTTGACCCCCCGCCGCGCCTCGAAGCCTCCGACCCCCGATGTGACTCCTCCTAGAACGAACGCGAATAAGCGACCTCTCTTGAGCCAGTTCGTGCATGTGTCCTCATCATCGCGAGCTGACTCGTTCCAAACGGCTAATGAGGACATCTCTTCGTCTGATGACATGGATACCCCGGTGCGCTCATCTCAGACCACGACTCAGACATCCAGACAAAGAAAGCAGCCATCTAAGCCACCCGCCGCAAATGGTTATCATTCATATTTCACCAGCGCGAGAGAATCCCCGCTGGTTTCTGAACAGCCTAGCGACACTGAGTACGTAAATGGATTCGAGTCTTTTGATGGAGATTGGACCATGGACACGATGGACGGGTCTCCGACACCAGCTGGGAAGCGAAAATCTGCACGGAAATATCCTCAACTGAAGAATCAGTCAAGCCTGGACAGGAATGTATTGGATGTGAAACACCTGGATGCCTCTTTGATGCGGGAGAAGAAGCTGCGGGATCGCGTTCATGGTGCACATGAACTGACGACTACCTCATCTATGGAGCGATTCCGTGAAGAGATCGGTTGGCCATCATCGGAAGGTACAACCAAACATGGCGATCCTGTAGCCCGTCCCTTGTCAGTCATCTCGTCGACATCTACCGTCTCGGCGATGATCATCGACTCCCCCAAAAGAACCCAGCGAATTCTTCGGCATACTGAAAAGCGAAGCTCTTTGCGATCTGCCAGCTCCCCCATCACCCACTCGGAACGTACCTCTTATGGGTCCCTTCCTGAATCGCAACATCGTCTGGTCCACAAGGCCGCTCGCATTTCCGAGCAGGGCCGCCGAAGCGCATCATCAGGAAGGTCATTCTCGGCCCAAACTAGCAACAGCGCAATAAACCCCAACATTGAAACTATCAAGGTGGTGGTCATACCAGAGCGAAGTTCATCCCTCAACTCTGGTCGCAACAGCTTTGCTTCTTCCAAGCCGGGCTCTCAACGATCGAGCCGTCGTCCCCCGACTACCTCAACTGGTCATGTAGATATGACCCGACAGAAGAAACGTACCATGTCTGACTCGGTGTCCATGAAATCTCACGCGACTGATTCCAGAAGTCGTAGTATCGGGCGACCTGTCATCCCACCCCGAAGCTCATCGCTTTCTGCGCCAACAAGTCGGAACAATTCTCGCGCCACATCTCTTACCACGGCCAGTTTGCAAAGCCACAATCTAGCCATGGACTTTGAAATGCAAAAGCGTCGTGATCAGCAGCCAGTGTCTCCACCTCGCCATAACGTCTTATCTTATGATCCTAGCGATTTTCTCGAGGTTCCCAACATGCATGAGTTTGCAGCCGCTGACGATATGACCCTGCAACCCCCTTCGTTGCCGTTCACCCAAGGATCGATCCCGTCATCTTCACCAGGGCCGATAGAAATCCAGGAGGCTACAGCTGTCAGCTTGTTTGCACATAACAACCGATCTCTGCTACTTGTTGATCCCCGAATGCAGTCATCCAGACGTCCTCTCCATGAGTTTGGAATCTCCAACGGCCCAATCAATCTTCGCACACCAGACAATCCACCCCAGCCAGGAATGATGACTGTCGACTCCCCGTTGAAGAACCCTCGCCCTCCACCCAAGCCACCAATCGCCAAACCTCTTCCTCCGCTTCCCTTGCATGAGGATGACAACGGTACGGATGAAAGCAAAGGTCTCAACGGACGATGGAGCTCAGTACGTCGCACCTGGAACGCTCGCCCACGGTCCGAATCCTTCAACACCCTAGCAAGATCATTCACCATGAAATCAGCAAAGAACCGAACAACGGGAATAGAAATGGACAGTCGCCTGTACCCCTTCTGGCGACCTCGCCCATTCTGGGAAGGCATATCCGACTCCCCCAAGAAGACGGGTTCACCGACCCGTCAACTGCCCCTGAACCCAAACGACTCCTTGGTAGTAAACAACACCCTCGGTCTACCCCAGCAGCGAATCATCTTCGACGGCCCGCCCGCTTTCGCACGGCGCAGCCCAGAAATGAAGCGCCTTTTCAACGGAATGACCAGCAATGGTAGCTTAGTCGCCCCAGGCATGTTCCGCACCGGATCGCCACTGCACCCATCTCGCTTCCGAGTCCTCTCCCACTGGGGTCTGCGTGTCCAGTCGATGTCCTGGCGCAATATACGCAACCGGCTCCGACGTCTGCGCCAACGCCGTGATGAGCGTAAACGCGCTGTCCGGAGAGAAACTCTCAAGCAGAGTATCGGCGGCCCTGTCTATGTAGCATCCAGCGCTACTAGTGGGATCCCCGGGAGGTAATGAATGATGCTCTTCCCCTCCACCCCCCTCTCTTTTCCTCCGTTATTATGCCCCGTTTTCATGCCTGGCTGTGTTTTGCAGCCAGCCTGACGATATCATGATGCATCTGGGAGTCATTTGCCTTTTCGGTTTTGAAACTTTGAAATTTATCTTATGGCCACGCCTGGAGATTTATGTTTGAAATGAGGTCTATGATGATTATGAAACACGACACTTGTGATGATGATAATGAACTTACTGTTACCCACTGCTTCTAAATTGCGTTGATTATTGTTGATATCTTTGTTGGGTTTGAATGTACTATTAGTTCATTGCATCTATTTTTATGCTTAGCATACGTATCTATCCTTTATTTACTCGGTTTGTTCATCAATCTCTCTCCGAGTAGGGGGTTTCATCGTGTCCGAGATACCTTCCCTGCGTCCGAAGGTTGTGCGACACTGGGAGGTTTGCTTGAGAATTGTCTCACCTCTTCGAGTATCCATGGTCTCATCTTTGGAGTAATCTTCGCTGGAGTAGATAAGAGATGGGCCATTAGCGGACAGGCGAAACAATCCATCGTAAATGTGCAGGATTTTTGATCGAGCAGGGCAAAGCTGCATCATGGCACACTCGCCCAAAAATATCCGGATCCTCTACACCAAGCCATGAGGATAACCAGCCATCTTTCAAACCAGGCCTTGTTCAAGAGTCACAAGTACAAGTACAAGCATATATCAAATCGAATTCTAACAAGGGGGTATCAAACACCAAACAACATATCCATAACGGCAGCAAATCAAACCATCTCAAATAAAAAGAGCATCAGAACAAGGACCTCAAGACCTCCCACCCCAATAGATATTCCCCCTCCCACGTCCCCTCTTGCCCCTTCCTCTCACACTAGACCGACCCCGAATAGCCATAGACCCATACTCCATCTCCTGCTCTGCACGTTGTCTCCGCCGCTCAGCCGATTCCTCTCCAGAAACAGCACTAGCACCAACACCGGAACCAGAGCCTTGTGATGTTGCCCCATTGGAGTCCTCTACCGACTGCGCCGCTATCTTCTCACGATGAAGCCTGAGCATAGCATCCCAAGTCAGCGGGTCGAGAAAGGGCTGTGGTGCCGAGAAGGGGACTTCGATGCGGGGTATCTGGGGTAAGTCATCTTCTTCGGTAGCTGGAGTAGAACTTGGATTTGGATTGTCTTTTCTTGTTTGGAGGTATTCTTGGTAGGACTGTTTCAGGCGTGTTTCTGCGGGGTTTGCGCTGGGGTTGAGAACTCGTGGATACCGGTTGGTTGTTGATGTTGGTTTGAGCGGGCGTTTGTTCGGGATTAGTCGGGGTCGGTTTGGTTTGGGGGAAGTTGAGGATGACATCTTTGTCCTATATACCCGTGACTTCCTAGAATTCTGTGTTGTTGTAAGAGGGAAAAGTTGGAGTGGGAGTTGGAGGTAGGATCTCTTATCGCTTATCGGGAGATTTGCGTCATTTCAGCTATAACTATGAACTATTGAGAAACTCTTGGCTTCCACAATTGTCTATCTATAGGGGGTTGGATAAGGAAGAGGAGATCAAAATATGAACAGTGGGGTAACATTGTTTAAAGCAGCAATCAGCACACTATAAATGGTACTATAATCTCGTTTTAGCGCACGGAATAGGTTGTGAAAGCCCTCCAAAGCTGTTGCCAACGGAGAAGAATAAGACCAAAAAATAACTGGAGACAATCAGAGCTAGCAGGGGACTTCTATCACCTGCCTAGGTAGTTTTAGTGCTCTATAAGATCCCCGAAATTGAGGCTGGGGCTGTTAGCGTCGGGCATGAACCTATCCAAGTTTCGGCCCCCACAGGTCCTCTTCCAACATCAATGCCTGGCACACATAGCGACAGGTATCCATCCACGTCAATTCACGAGCCATATCATAAATCGAAGGACTTTGAAGTTGCTCACCATCTGGTTTTGCCTTAGGTCCAGGTCTCGAAATGGAGCTTCACTGGAACGGCTGAGGATCCCTGTCAACGAACGACGCCAATGCACGCGATTCCCCTTAACAGGGCCCCGAAAGCCCCAAAGTCCCCAACCTCGTGCGAGATTCTCCAATCATCATAGTCTTGCGTGAAGCTATCTCAGGCACAGCCTGAGATCCCCCTGTCGCCCACGACAAAAATAGGAAGGTAACGAAGAAACAAACGGGGCTTATACCGATTTCCTCATTACCTGATACACTAGATACGCCCAGGCCATGAGCTAGTTCATTTCAGATGAGCTGAAAAGAGGGGGAATAGGGACAATGCATTCGGCCCTAAGGGTTTGTTTCACGCTCTTCAAAGTACTTATTACCCGCCCTCTAGGCTTCTATGATTGTCTTTCCTATACAGTTTGAATGATGAGCTCCTCCATGGAGACACCTGTCAACACGTTCATTTATCTCTCAGGCTTGCTGGAGATCATATATAAACAAGCATCCACGTTCAGCTGCGCGCAGCTCGAAAGCAATGCAGAGCCCTGCGGCAATAATCTCAAAGGGAGCCTCGACCTTGTCGCAGAATCCTTTGGACAATTGTTTGCTATCATCAACGACCCTTGTCGTGTATTCCACGACGAAGATGGTGCATTCGATACCGTCCTCACGCAATTCATCCAGAGTTGCCTATGTCGAAGTCAACACCAAAAAAATGCCGACCACGCTATGAGCCAGTGGAAAAAGGAGCTTTACAATCGCGATATTAGATGCCGTTTGCGTTTAGAACTAGAAGAATATCTTTCCAAACGCTTGGAAGAGTCGATCACTTCCACCCCACTATCCTCAACAAGGTTCAAGCTCCGCGTGTCCAAAACACCAGCGAGAACCGATGAGGACGTGGCACGCAAAGTGGTGAAAAAAGCACGCGAACCCCTCTCGGAACTGGACAAAAATCCTGGCCGTCTCTATCTTATCTCTCTTCCGGGACTAGCAGACATGTTCAAATTGGGATTTACAGCGGGGGCCAAGGCGCGATTTTCTGATCACAGGCGGTGCTATGGAAACATCACAATCGTGAAAAACGCATTTCTGCCCTATGCTCGTCGAATCGAGCAACTTATCCTCGCCGAACTATCCCGGCAGCACTACATGCTCACTGAGAAGTGCGAAACTTGCCACCGTACCCACAAGGAATGGCTCCTAATCGGCAAAGACGACATGGTGAACGTCTTTGACAAATGGGTTGCATTTGCCCGCGGAGAGAACGAATATGCCCCTGGAGAGAATGAGCCTTACGACAAAAACGGCAATTTCAATTCGAAAGATGTGGTGCTACCACCTCCTGCTGGGGATTTTAAGTTTCCACCTTCACCTTCATCGAAAAAGAGTTCTCGTCGATCAAATGGGGCCTCGTCACAAGATTCACCTTCTAAACCTGGCCCTGCCAGGTCTGATAGCAGTGTCCTTGTTGAAGGGATTAGCAGACTGAGCTTGGGCGACAGCCAGTCTCTGCCTGATGAGGGTGACGATGACAGCGACTCACACCCCATCTCATCCCTTCCCGCCAGACTAGCTGCTGCTCGTATGAAGTAAATTGTTGTGCTTATGTTTTTCCTGTTTATATCGTCTTTGTCTCATGTTATAGCCTTACCCGTAAATTTTCTGAAAATATAGCTGCTTCTCTTTAGCGAGTGCCACTTGTTCGATACTAAGTTGTTTGCTACCTACAATGAAGAATAAAATTAACTAGCTAAAGGAGCAGAGGCAATAAAACGAGATAATGGTAATATACGGTCCAGAGAAGGGATATAGCTAGAGTATATGCGTAGAGGACATTGTAGACAGGTTAACAGAGAGACCCTTCTTCTGACCTATCGTACGAAGAACACAGATTATCCTCAAGCTTTACGTTTCCTTTCCCTATACAGGTCTTACGTATGAAGAAGTAGACAAGATCAGACGAGATGATTTTTAAAACATCAGTCATTTAAAAAATTGGGAGCATTGTTCGCAATAAGGAAAGTATACAGGACAATACAAACTAAGCGCTACTTCAGGTATAAACTGACGCTAAGGGCCTCAAGAAAGCGGTGACAGTCCAGATGAGAAAGCAAATGCGCCGCATATGAGCTATACTATTACATTACTGTATGTATTCCAAAGATCCTCCGCCTTACCTCCCCACCGAAAGCGCAGCCCCGCTAGCCCTCCATAATGAAAGCCCCTACTTACGCAAACGCAAGCCAATCTTCAGCCCAAAATTCGGAACATAAAACTCCTCGAATGAAAGCGACCCGGCCAAAGTCCCCGTTGATGAATTCGGTAGGAAGAGGTCATAGCAAGTAAGGACGTGAGCAAAAGCCAGCTTCATGAGCGCGCAAGCCATCCATCGGCCGGGACTAGATAGAGGACAAACACGAGTCCAGAGTGTCAGCCGATGGGATCCAGGCGGTTGAATTTGAAATCGAGACACAGCCCTCCCCTCTGCAGAATAGCCCTAGTGCGAGACTGACAAGGGCGAACCAATCGATTGGAAACATAATTTGGATTTAAATTTGACTTACCAGGCATGCACACCCATCCAAAGACCAGATAGTCAGGACTCAGATCGACGAGTTGACTGTTCTTGGCTCCCGCTGCTGTGCGCTTCACGAACCGGAATCCGTCGAAGTCGTTGGGGTTTTCGTAGTTTGTGCTTAGGCGTTGGATTAGACCGCTTGGGACGGCAATGTGGGAGCCTTGTTTGAGGATTGTTCCTGTTCGAATATTTGTTAGTTAGGTGGGAGGTAGAGTATGATGCTGTGGAGTTGAGACGAACCGTTCGAGAGCTTCAGGTCGTGGACGCAGACTCGGTGGGCAGACACTAGATGCATGCTACTGCGTTAGTTGGGCCTCTCTATTTCCTGGTAACCTGCTGTAGACATACGGGCTGCAGGGGGATGCAGTCGCTGGCACTCCTTTAGGAAACTATCCATCAGGACCATGGCATCACAGGCCAGGACGGTAGGTCCCATCTTGGCAAAGATAGCATCAATCTCCTCTCGCAGGGGAGCAATATACTCAGGGCGACGGGCTAGCTCGGCAAGGGCACCGTACAATCCCTTTTGGATGGTCAGCAGAGAGAACATGTGAAAGGGTGTACATACATACATAGGCCGTGGTATAGATAAAGGCAAACTGCAACAGTAGCATTTCACCAATGACCTCTGCATAAGTCCATTTCTCGCGGAGCACCGAGCTTTCATACAGCCAGCGGAAGATTTCGACCTGCTGATGATTAAAAGCCACTCAGCAGACACCGAATCTGGAAGGAGGAAAAGAAAGCAAAGAAAGACACACAGGGTTATCTGCATCGTCGGGATTGGTCTCGATGCCCTTGTTGTCGCCACTAAATATCTCGGCGTGATATTCAGCGGCGCGTGCATCAAAGTGCTTGAGCAGAATTTTGCGTGAGGCATGCATGTCCCAATTAGTACCTAGAGTGGCGAGGCGACTGATAAATCCACCAATGTACCTATTCGGGGGTTTAGTTCGAGGTCGTTTCAAATAAACCAAGTATATCTCACCGTTTCAACCAATCTGGAACCATAAACTGGACTCGAGTAGTTACTATCATTCCCAGAATATGTTCTTTGACTGCATTGAGATACTCCTCATCCTGTGAAAGCCGCGAGCCAACCATCGCAAAGCTCCCGCTGCGTGCTACGATGGAGTATGCGAAGTCGAAACACCCAACGTTGCATTCTACCATCAATTATCAGAAATCATGTAAGACAACCAAGGTAATCGGAGGAACATACCACCAAATTTCAAGTCCAAGCTTCTCAGCTGTGCGAGAATGGCCTCGTTCATCGAGGGCATGTACTGATCCAGATGTTTGTAGACCGTGGCACGAATCACACCGGGCGTGGTCTTTGCGATCTTCGGCCATCCCCCATCCCTAGGGAAGTACCCAGGCATAACATGAGAAATCTGCAGCAACTGTTCACACAACAATGTTAGCATATCCAATGCTTGACTGACTTGTACTTAGTATAGCATAGCATAACCCACCTGGTCAATCCACGGCTCGGGCGAGACAGCAGTACTTCGGAGATTCTTCAACTCCTCGATTAAATCCAGCTTGCACAGCACGACTTGACCGAAGCGGAATGTGCGCGGGATCTCGAATAACCCGTTTGGGAATTTGTCATAGCCTTCCTTTATTAGGCTCGGTCCATCCACGACGAATCTGTAGTGTTGGTATATAATCGAGAAGAAGCCTTTGGATGTGGCGAATGGAGTGCCCACCTGGTAGGATTGTATTGGGTTAGTGGGCTTGGGTTGTTCTTTGGGCTTTTGTATTGAGGTGGAAATAATGAGCCGAGCATCACTCACATTTGCCAATCGGTTTGAAGTAAGGACCAGAGCGACTGAGGTGACAACCACAATGACCGTGGCCGTAGCGCAAAGGGTCAGTAGAAAAGGCCGAAAGGACATGAAGTCTGAACTCGAGAAATGGGAGGTAGACTTCCCGGGTCCATAGAGGTATTTCTCGAACCAACGGGATATCTGCTCCGAATACATTCTGTTCTGATTTCGCGAGGAAGAAAAGGCAAAGTAAAAGGCAAAGTGAAAGTAATCAAAAGAACAAGGACGGTCTTTAAAGGGGAGAGGATGGGGGCTCGAAAGTGAAGCGAAGACAGAAAAAGAAACAGACAAGCAATAGTTACGACACAGCTATTGCATCGGGGAGTTACTCTTCGAGAATACTACAACGCGGCGAGTCCGTGCTCGAGAAGTGACGAAAATAACAGACTGTGATATGCATTGCACAATGTACGAGATTTATTACTGCATGAGGCTTCTTTGGATCTGACTAGGAAGCTGATCCAATAAGAGCTTTTAAAATCAGAATGAAAAGAATACAGATTCGTACAAGAGACTCATAAGAAATACAGACAGATATCCGAGAGGCGAAAGAAAACTCCCTGGGGTGTATCAGTGATCGAATATGTGGTATAATGATACAAACACGCAAACCACGCCCGCAAACAATAGCCATAACGCCAAGAAATTAGTTCAATCTATGCGATGCCCGAGGTTTCCACCCCGTTCATGGTAGAGTAGGAATAAGGCAGGTCTACCAATCCGTCAAGCAGCCAGTTCAACGGATCGAAAACTTCGTAATTAGGCTCCATGAAGCCGCTTGGAAGTGCATTGACTTGTGATGGTGGTTGGACTCCAAGACTGGCCTGGGATAGCAGGGGTGCTGGGGCTAGGCTCGGATCTCCACCAGAAATTCCAGGAGTGGATGTAGATGTGTGTACAGGCCCGACGGATGAGATGGTCGACGAATCGGCTGTTGAGTCCGGGTTTGTTGGGTTTTTCAAATAGGCTAAAACAAGGTTAGGATAATAGGGTATAGAGGGGGGAGTGATACTAACCTTCGATATTCCGGCCCTTTGTCCGTGCATCCTCCCGCCATCGCCATACGGAATCGTAAAGCAGGGACATGCTCATTCGACAACGAACTTTGAGTCGCAGGGAGTCGTCGAGGTCGGTGCTATTATTGGACCTTTGAGTCGCTCCTCCCAGTCTCCACATTTGGGCTAACACCTCCGCAAGGCGTTCGGGCAGGTCATTACTAGACGCTGATACCCCACGAATAGCCCAGATTGTGCGATTGAATAGGTGCTTGGTGTAATCCATGTCAATATGAGAAGCAAAGAAGCTCTTGCATAGCTTCAGTAGAGTGCATCCAGCAGCAACCATCATCTGGTAGACATAATATGGTGTGTAGGAGAGTACAGGACCGACTCCAGTCTCAAGATTCAGGACGACTTCGAGGAATGATGTCGTCGCAACATACAAAGACAAAACACGCTCGCGATAGTCCTTTGCGGTAGGCTCATCGAAGAAAGCAGACAAGTGCAGATGAAGGTTGGCAGCACGGAGATACAGATTAGTAATACCTGATTGGTTAGCATCAGATAGACATTACAAGACCGGGAAGCTTACAGTCATTGTGCGTCCTTAGCTCTTCTTCCAGCTCCTCGAAATCTCGAGATAGGAAAGAAATCATGGTTGACCGTTCATGGTCACTAGTCAAACCAACAGGGTCTCGTCGATTCGTATAAAGCGCTCGAGTGATCTTGTCACAGAATTTCTCGATCTCCAGTCTTGGTCTCATATCCTCTGGCAATTTAAAGTTCGGGTCTAGCGCATCGCTTGAAGATAATGTCCAATCGTAAAGAGTGGATGGTGGCTGTCCGTAGCCAGTAGATACCCTGAAAAGATGAGCCCAGGCCGCAGTTATGGGAGTTGTTGTTACATACCTCTGGGCAACAATGTTACAAATAGCCCATGTTCGAACTTTGTCTCTCAGTTCTTCTTCAATCAGTTCCACCCTGAATTTACTGAAGTCCTGAGTATGAGAAGGCCTATGGAGACCCAGCTGCATAGCAACCTGCACCATCATTCCACACAGCATGAACGTTGGGTCTGTTGAGGTACTGCTCACGGGGAATGGCCATGAACAGAGCAAAGATAGAGCCTTCACAACATGGTAGTTCTGAGGGATATCGGCAAGAGTGCTCCATACTAGTCGGGTGACTGGGCCGGCGAGAGAATTCAGTAGGTTTGAATCGCCCTGGTAGCGACGCGCACCAACACTGATGATCGTCCAGAAGAGCAGAGATGAAGAATTATAGTATTCATCCGGTGACTGCTTCTGGTCAAGGAATGGGAGGAATGGGTGGTAGTATGTGAAGAAACTGACAGTGTTAGGGCTAATCTCAAATTGCCGGTTGGGATCTTACAGATTAAACAGCTCCACCACCTTCTCGGGAACGACCATGACATCCTCGATTCGCTTGACTTGCCCTCCATTTCGCAAATAGTTGGCACCATCAAAGCCGGAGCGCAAGTCCAGCAAGGATGCAACCGCTTCCTGAGAACCCATGTACTGATCTGCGGACATGGCTGACGGGGTTTGATACACCGCAGGACTGACTCGATTCGACTCTTGCTTAGGAGTAATCTGGCCCGCAGCCAGCGGTTGTTGAGGAAGGGACGAAACGGGTTGACCCGTGGCGATCTGCTTCCTCAGCTGAAGGATTTCCCTCTCCATCTCCGCATTGCGACTGCGCTTCCCAACACGTTTGAAATTCGATTCGATCTTGCAGTCGAGCTTTAGCCGGCGACATCGCGAACAATCGGTCCAGGGATCTTGAACAACATCGCATCGAAGCTGTCGCAATCCGAAAAAGGTTAGCACCAGTCTAAAATTTCATGATCGCGCAAATACCATACCTTTTGCTGGCGGCACTCATTGCAAGCGCGCTTCACGGGTTGACGTCTCTTCTCCTCGCGCGCATCGTGGTCGTCCATATCCTCCATACTTCCCGGCGAACTGTCGATCCCCGCCATGATGACATTGCGTTTGCGACCATGCACGCCATCGGCCGCAACAGGTAACTGGTTGAGACCCGCCATTACGGGACTGCCGACTGAAGCATTATCAGCGCTCACAGTAGATTCCAGAGCTGCCTGGCCTCCTCCGATGCCACTCGATCGCCCGAGAGAAGCCAGGCTGAATGACGTTTGATCCGGTCGAGATGGGGATTCCGATATGATCGGTTGTTTGATTGATCGTAGTATATGAGAGGAAGGTTGCCAAAGCAGGGCAATTGAAGTTGCACTTTTTCCTTTTTTACTTTTCCTTTTCCTTCAACTGACGACATACAACGATGTTCTCGGTGAAGGCCGTCTGGGACTCCGGGATGAGTCAGCGCGGAGGGGCACGAGTCACCTGACTAGGAGCTGGACGGATAATGTCACGTGATGTTATACACGCACGTGATGGAGTGATGTATACACGTGATGGTTTTATTTATAATCAGCCCGGGCATAGAAAATGGTCTGAAAGGCTGCACAGACAAAGCGTATCGAACTACACTAGAAGGGGCACTGCGTGGGGCGCATGAGACATGAGATCATGATCGTCAGTATGCCTTGGGGGCCGTTCTCCATAATGAGCCGAGGCAGTGCAAGACATTGCCCAGCGCCCAGCTTCGCCTCTACATTAGTGTCCAATCATAGATAGTTTGAAGGTCTCGGAGGGTAAATACGAACAAGTTCAGAAGCTTAGCCTCGCAGGGCTCAGTCCCTTGGTTCCACGTTGAAGAAGTTCTTTGGTTCCTTCGACTGCGGCGTACGCTCGTAAATGAAAGTGCGAGGGGTATCCGGGGCTATAAAGTGCCTTCCCATCCTTGACTCAAATCTCACTCTACACTCAACAGCAATCATGGGTGTATCAACGGATAATATGTCCAAGGAGACTAAACAAAGCGAAACCAGCTCCAGCGAGCGACCACCGTCATACTCGGATGACCCAGTAGCGCAACTATCTGCGGAGTTAAAGTTAAACCTCCAAGTATCATCTGATACCAAGTCTATCAGTCGGGACGAATGTGTCGCACATCTCAAGTTCCTAGCCGTACTCGCAGATCTGCGTGAGAACATCTCTGGTGATGATGGACTCTTTGGTATCAATGATTTTGAAGCCGATAGATTCCCCGAGTCGATCAATGAAGCGCGGGCTCGAATCCGCGAAAAGCGCTGGGCTGTGTACACGGCTCGTGCGGTTGATCGATATACTGTATGGTGGGCTACTGGCCTCCCACGGTCAAGACCCAACGCAAGCTTGAGTGACGTGGAAAGTGCGGACTATGAGAATATCATCAACCCAAAGACTCTAGTGGCATGGAGTCCCGACAATCTGCCTCCAATCGGTAAGTGATCTTTGTGATTTACAAAGAACTCAGACTAACTCCTTTCGTAGATATTTTGATGGTCTGGCATGCTCATTCATTGAATCCTCGCAACTATCTCGAGGATTGTATCCGATATGGCAAAATGAGCACTTGGAAGACGGGCTTTCCCTGGGAGGTGATTGACAGCTGTATTGACAACCGCAAGCTGGAATTCACAGTCTCCGACGAGGCCCAGAAGATATTCGAGCAAAAGCTGAACATCAGATGGAACAATCTGCACGACCCGCCTACCAAGAGCATTCAGTGCCCTAGCTGTGTAAATATCTTCCCCGTTCAGTGGACAGAAGGTCTCTTCGGAGAGACAGTCGAGAATGCCTTCAGGTTTGGCGATGGCTACGCGGACAACTCATTCCAAAAAGCATGCTCTCATTGCCATTACACAATCGACCATGGCCGGCTCAAGGTGGCTAAGTTCCGAAGGGATCTTGAAGCAACAATACATGCCGATATCCCCATGCCCGGCTCGTTTACCAATCTCCATGGGATTCCCGAAGGCCCTACCGACAAGCTCAACCATCCGAGTCTCCGACACATGCTTTTCCCCACAAGACTCATGCAAGCCATCGGACCAGAATTGCTGAACTTCACCGATCCCCGAGTGGACTGGTGCAAGGACATCCAAGACTTACGAAAAGAGCTTGAGCCCAAACTAAGAGACCGAAAAGCCCTACTCGAAGCCCACGGAGGTGCATACATCAAAAGACTCCGACCCGCCGAGCGAATCCATTTCCGCCGCCTAATGTCCCGCTACTGGGACAACCTAGGCCCTTTCTCGCTGGACCTAGTAGGCGCAGTGATCCGACAGGGAACCTTCATCTCGAAAATGGACCAAATCGACTGGCTGCATTCACCAACCGTAATGGAAACAATGGACCGGCTAATCAAGAAATACGAAATATTCTTCTCAATAATGATGAACTGGCCCAAAAACATGGCCGTCCCAACCCTCGACGTCGACCTAGCCTGGCACACCCACCAACTAAACCCGTCCCGCTACTACACCTACAGCACGAAACAAGCAAACAAAGCCGGCGTCCGTGTCTTCATCGACCACGACGACAAAGTCGACGAAGACAAATTATCCGACGGCTTCAGCTGGACCAGCAAAACATACCGCCGCATCACCAACGGCGCCGTCTACTCCGAATGCACATGCTGGTACTGCGAAGCAATACGCACACCCGATCTCTACGACCGTGTTATAACTGTCGGCTCGGCGTCTCGCGCGCGCGACGCCGCAGACTCATTACACGACCGTCCAGATATCTCCTCCGACCCAAATAAGAACCCGCACATCTCGGCGCACAACGCCGTTCGTCCGACTTCGCTGTACGCCCCGACGGATCGGCTTGGATCTGTGCATTATCTGCAGCTCAAGTCTAATTATCAGAAGGCTGCAAGGAGGGCTGAGAAGCGGGTTCGTCAGCGTTCGGGCTCTAAGTCTTCTATTTCTACTTTTACTTCAGATAAGGAAAAGGAGAAGGGCAGGGATAGGGCTCTCGCTGCGGATCCGTATTATATGCCCTATGCCTATGGGTATCCGATTTTCGTGCCGTATTATGCGCCCTATATGGCGGATCCGTGTATCAATTCTGATGTCTACGCTTCTAATCCTGGTTGTATGAGTACGACTTCTGGGGCTGCTGGAAATTGTTGTTCTGGTACTTGTGGTATGTTCTTCTCTTCTTTCTTCCTCCCTTTTTCTTTTTTCTTTACTCTTTACTAACCTGACAATAGGTGGCGCTGTAGCCGCAGGTGGATGCGGTGGAGGGGGATGTGGTATGTTCTTTGCCCTCGCATTGATCTCTGATCTATCTCTATCATCTCTAGATACATATACTGACTGATTTTCTGTTTACAGGCGGAGCAGGTGGATGTGGTAGTAGCGGAGGCGGATGTGGTAAGTCTCCCCAACCTCGCCTCACAAAATCGAACACCTGACTTACATATTCTATAGGCGGCGGCGGCGGTTGTGGAGGCGGTGGTGGTGGAGGTGGAGGTGGAGGCTGTGGCGGCGGTGGTGGTGGTGGATGTTGAGCATGCAAATGACGATTTTGATACTACACGTACACTTCTCCCGGTTGCTTCAGCTTGTTGTTTTATTTATAGGTTTCAACTTGCTTTGCTTGATGCACTAGCTAATTGGGTTGTCTTTATTGCATCATGATAATTAGTTTGCTTTTGACAGTGGATCGTATTGATATTTTGTTGAATTTAGTATCGGGTGTCTGGTGCCTTCTGTACTATTTCTAAGCTATGTTGACACATGGAATCGACATAATGATCCATTGCTCCAAAACGCACCCGGATAGAATTGTATAGTGATATCACTTGGATATCCACACAAATCCCAATTCTCATATATCTACAAATCTACAATGCTAAGATCATATAGTTTCATGAGTTATATTCATTGTGAGCCCCGTCCGAGAGTCACTGAGTACACGAAAGTGAGAGACCGAGGCGAGAGATATGGAGAGAGAGGAATCGAGAAAAAGAGACAGGGAGAGAGAATGTGAGTGTGAGAGAGAAGGCAAAGAGGACGGAGAAACGGAGAGAACGGACGAGATACACATGGGGATGAAAAGTCAAGGGCGGATCGTAGGATTTGGTTTGGTATATATGTGCGAGGCGAAAAAGAACAAAAACAAACACAAAAACAGAAAGAGACCAAAAAAGGACAAACGAAACATGAGGACGTGAGAAACAGACACAAGTCCAAATGAGTATGAGTATGAGTATGAGTATTGATGGGGGGTGAACATGCGCCAGTCATACAAAGACGACTGTTTAAGGTGGAGTTTCCAAGAACAAGACAAAAACACAAAGCAGAAAGCACAAAACGGGCCAAGGAGACATGGTTGATACATGGGATCTCGAAAGGTAAATAAAGGTCCCGAGAATGGCTCACGCCGTTGAGAAAGAGCGAGAACGACTAAGCTGGACCACGGCTCTATTTCTCTCTGGGGTGGTCGTAAACATGTAAACAAGAAGGTTCAAAAATTCGCTCAAGCTCGTACATGAGATCGTGAAATGGGTCGCAGGGACCGGGTGACTGAAGACACTGGAAGGATTAAGTCTTCACTCTTCCATGCGGCCAAAGACTCCGTCATCATCATCGTCGGCTGGTGCGGAGCGGTTGCCAAAGTCCACGTCGGCGTTGCGGCGCTGGCGGGATTCCTGGGCCTCCTTGCCGCTGGTGCGGACCTCACGCTCATCCGACACCTTGTATGACAGCGACGGGTTGAGCGATCGAGAGATGAAGATGTTGGCCTCGGAATCTCGGCGGGCTTGCTCGGCGGGGCGCGGCTGAGCCAAGTGGGGGCTTTGGTTACTCGGGTGGCTGCTCGAGTCGAGATAGCGCGCGGGCAGTGGAGGCACTGGCGGTACGTCCGGAGTCATGGAGACGGGCCCGGTGCGGGGAGTGCCGAAATTGCAGAGACCGATGGCCGCGGCAAGATCCGCCTCATCATCTTCGTGTAACCTTGTGTCGGCGGTCGAGGGACGGGTGTCGATGCTCGAGTGGCGGAAGTGGGAGAAGGCAGGGGAGTGCAGTGGCGCGCTTTCGTTGTACGAGCTGGAAGGAATGGACTGGTAGGAACGAGAGAAACCCGAGGCGTTGCTGACGCTGGGTCGCTTGGCCCAGTGGGCCGGCACGCCGGACATCTCGAAATCGTCGTCTTCCTCCTCGTCCATCGGGGGTGGCGTGGTTTCAGCAGAGCTGATTCCGTCCCGCACCTCGGACGAAGCGTCCGGTGATCCCGAAGACAGTTCTGACTCCAGTTCGGCCAACTCAGCGGCCTCATCGGGGGGATCGTCGTGGTTCATGGTGACCAGAACGGAGGCGGCTTCCAGCAGTTGAACCTGCTGGTGCTTAGAGATGAGAAGCTTTGAAGTAACGGCCCATGCTGGGTCGTGCTCCCACCTACCATGAAAAATAACACGTCAACCAAATGTCGAGACAAGGGAGAGGAAGGGGAACTGTGACGAAGGGGGAATAGAATGACCACGAGGGCGACCTGCACAGAGCCGACATGGTGCATAACCCCGAGCAAGAAGAAGACGGCCGAGCGGCAGGGGGGATACACACATATGCTTGGACAAGCAGCTGCCATGCTTATACCCTTTCCCGCAGCGATCGCAACGCAGGTCTGCCGGAACACGCTTCCCTTCAGTCTTCAGTATGGCACCCTCGCTGGCGCGACGGTTCCGGTTCTTTAGTTTGGCATCAGTTTCCGACCCAGGGGAGCCCTTGCGGGCGACCGGCGGTTCCTGGCTAGGACTGTTGATGCTGCGGGAGAGGTATGAGCTGAAACCTGACACGTTGCCGACAGACCCGGATTCCAGTCCCTTGCGGCCTCCTAGGGTACGGCGGTGCGCCATGGGTAGCGAGGTGGACTCTCCGCCTTCCATGGAGGCAGCGACCGCAGCGGCGGCATTGGCGGCCGCGGTAGTGACACTCTTGCGGCGTGTGACACGGTGGTGTGAATTGACCGCACCCAGCGAGATGGAGTGCGCGTGGGATCGCTGGCTGGGGTTGGGGAGAGGACGCGACATGGACAATTCCTAGCCACAGGGGGAGAATGTTAGTTTCCATCGAGAGAGAAGGCCGCAATGGATCATACCTTGAATGATGCCATGGTGAGAGTTGAGGAAGCGTTCAATGGAATTGAAGCCCCCACAGACACGGAGACGCCTTCAGAAGCGCAGGTGGAAGGATGCGGAGTGAGTAATATGGAGTGGTTGAGAGAAGTTGAATAGCAACGAGTGCGAGAAGGAGTAATATGAGAGAGAGAGAGAGAAGAATAGAGAGAAGTAAGGCCAAAAAAAAAAAAAAGAAAGGTGGAAGGGGAAAAAAAGAGGAGAAAGGAGAAAGAGGTCCGGTATGGACCAAAATCGCTCAGGTTTGCGGGGGCCTTTCCCTTTGAGCATGCGGGGGGGTCATCGGTCACACTGTATTTTTGTATATTATTTACTACAGTATTCTATTAATCTACTCTCTTATTCTCTCTATATTATGCCTATAATAACATCCTATGTGTTGTATAAAGGGCTATACTTGTTATATGGTGACTGCCCGATAACAGTGGAGCCGAAGTCGCAGGGCACAATTGCGAATATCCCAGTGGCAGTGCCCACAATGACTCGCACTGGCACTCGCCAACTTTCCTAAAAGGCGCTCCGCAAAGGGAACTGGCGCCCTGGTTCGGCCATGCTTTCCATGGTTCTCTCGAGGCTGAAGCCTGTTTAGTCAGCCATAATTCCATTTACCTAGGTATGTAGTAGGGTGAATATTTTGTCAGTTGCCTGACGATCAAGGGTCAAGTACCAATCAAGTCACTAAATTGTAGTGTATTGATAGGAAAAGTCCGAGCCCAAGCGACACAGTACTCAGCGAGTACTCATCAGTACGGGTTTAACCAGATCACCTGCAGCGCATCGACCGGTCTAGCTGAGGGCGAAGTGGATCGGGTGATGTCACTGGCCTCCTGCTATCAGGTGACAGGATGATTCATACGATAACCCGTGACGGATGATACACCCGGATCAGTCCCACTACACTGTGATTCGGTACTCAATATAATATCCGGAATTGTTACAAGCTGATTGTCAAGTTAGGTAATAGCTCTGCACATGCCCTTGTCTAAGCCCAGCTGCCCACGAACAGGCCCTTGCACGCTAGCAGCGGGAGGGGATCATTACTCCGACCGTCAGACTATTGCGAATCATTTTTGGCCCCTGATCGGGTTTCTGGCACATTCTTGTCCCTGGTTCTGCTGGCATTGGTCAATGTAGATCTTGCAGAGCTTATCAATTATTTAACTTATTGTGAATCTTACATGTTTACTTTTTGTTTATCAATGCAATGCAATACAAAAAGGGAAAAAAAGAAAAAAAGTGTGAACGTCAATGTTGTCCAGTACCCATTAAAATGACGTGGTGCGACGGGGACAGCCCTGTTGAAACCTGGAGATATTACATAAACAATATCAAAAAAGTTACAAACAATGCAAACAATATTTTGAATGAAGAATCAGATCTAATCAGACAAAAGCTATTGCAGCCCAACACACAGTCAGGTCTGATCAATTGACTCAATTCCACAGACCTGGGAAACAATAACTCGCATCAAAACCAACCTACAAACCCACCAATCTCCAACCCAACCCAAACATCCACAATGCTCAATTCCCGCCTACGGCCCCTCCCCCGCCGCAACTATCCCACCACCATAAATGAAGCTCCAGCCCCGGCCCCAGACTTCGAAAACAAAAATGAGCTAGAAGAAGAAGAAGAAGAAGACCAAGAAGATCTCTTCAGCGCCTTCCTCCCCCACCTCTTCCCAGACGATGCCCCAGCCTTCCACGGCGACCCAGGCCAACATCTCCTCTACTCCTCCCCCCGCTATGGCAACCTGGATATCATGGTCCCTTCCTACCCAAGCTCAAGCGAGAAGCGTTCCGAAGAAATCGCCGCGGGTCTGAAGAAGCAGGATGGGACCGTGAACCAGGTTGACGAGGGCCGGAAGCTATTTGCGCATTTCCTCTGGAGTGCAGCTATGGTTGTTGCGGAGGGAGTTGAGGAGGCCGATATGCCGATTGTGGAAGGGGAGGTGGAGAGTGAGGCTAGGAGGGAAGCGAGGGAGATTTGGGGAGTTCGCGGGGAGAGTGTTCTTGAATTGGGTGCTGGTTAGTGTATCCCCTGCTTTTTTTTTTGGCATACAATATACATACATCCACACCTACAGAGCTAACACCAATACTGCCTAGGCGCCGCCCTCCCATCGGTAATCTGCGCTTTAGCATCCGCCAAAACTGTCGCCGCAACGGACCACCCCTCCAGCCCAGCCCTAAGCGGTGCAATCACCTTCAACACAAAGCACAACCTATCAAACCGGACACCAGCAGTATCCACAAACATAAGCATGCACCCGCACGAATGGGGTGTGTTGACAGACGCCTTCTCAGTCGCAAACAAAGGAGCCTTCAGCCGGATCATTGCGGCGGATTGTTTCTGGATGCCTGAGCAGCACGAGAACCTAACTCGTACTATGCAGTGGTTCCTCTCGCCCGGTGGGAAGGTGTGGATTGTTGCGGGCTTCCATACTGGGCGTGAGATTGTGGCGGGGTTCTTTGAGACGGTCGTTCGTGGGGGTTTCGTTGTTGAGAGGATTTTTGAGAGGGATACTGTTGAGCGGTTGGAGGATGGGGGTGAGATTAGGCGCGAGTGGATGCCTGTGAGGGAGGGGGAGGGGCCTGATAATCGGAAGAGGTGGTGTGTTGTTGCTGTTTTGCGGAGGGGTGGGGAGTAGATAGTTGTTGTTGTGGTGGTGGTGGTGGTGGTGGTGGTTATGTGCATATTGGGCGTTATTTTGTTTGCATGAGGGTATGATATCTTATATAGAATTTGTTGGTTCTGTTTTGGATAGAGGTTTATGCCTACATTATACCATTCTGTATCGTTGTATACCCATTATGTAGTCTATAAAGTGGTGCATACAGTTGTGGGTTTATGTGCTATAAAGGGAAGGCAAATCAACATAAACTATGTACTATTGCCTCAATACCTCGTTACGCTATAGATTACGTTTTAGAGGGAAATAGACTGATAAACATTATGAGCAATATAGTAACATATACAAGTCTGGATGTTTAAGTCTTGGTCCAGATTCGGGTATATGACTCTCATTGGATCTTCCCTGATATTGCAGCGCAATCGATGAGCAACCGTCATGAAGAAGTTGGCTGAGGCCCGAGATATATCCCGGATTGTGATTGAATTTTGGTTTTGCTCAGTTAGGCTCAAAGCGATCTTTGTTACACTGTTGTCTAACAGTTGCAATTGATCGAAATCAATTGCTTCAAGGAAGTTTTGGAATAGAGACCGGCGTTGATAGCCAAGCTCTGTTAGTCTCAGGCAGAGGCCAATCTGCGATAACTTTAATTCACCATGAGAAGCCATTGTTGTGGAATATCAGAGTCTGTGATGGGCGGTCACCCATGCAGTCGTAGAATGATTTGAACTCCACTCTGGAAGAGGAGAGGGTACTTGTGAGTTTTTTGTTCGATTGGAGTAAAAGAACTTCTTCTTTTCGTGAAAGCGAAATTGTCACGATTTGTGGAGGAGAAAATCAAGGCTAGATAGACATATCCATGAACGTTTGACTTGGGTTAAGCGAAGGTAGTAGGTACGAGAATATGAAGTGAAACTATGCTAGGCCATGGTACCCTTTACTGCCAGTCCGTTTGATTTGTCTGCAAGGAGAGCTCATACTATGGTATAGAGTACGAAAGCTATTTTCATACTTCTTCCAATACCGTAATAAGTTACTCCTACTAAGGATATAGATCAGGGGTAGGTTAACTATAGAAGGGCAGTTGGAAAATTACCTCCGTACATATCTAACTGCATCACAGGACAAGCCAACCACATGTATTTCCAATTAGGTTCTTCTATACAACCCAAACTTAGACACCATCTCCAACCCGAACAAAACAGACCGTACAAACCCCCTGCCCCTCATGCCCCCCAAACCGAAACCGAGGATACTCAACTCTCCCCCAAACAACCAACCGATCCCCCTCCCCCTTCCCACCAGTAAACCAATGCACAAGCTCCTCCTCAGTCCAGTTACAGGTAGTAACAACCAAAAACCCACCCCGACGCACCAACCGCCGCGCAATATCGGGATACCGCTCGCAAACACGAGTAGTCTTAGCATCATCGGCTAGCGAGACGGCGTCGAAGGTTCCTTTGTCTAAGACTATGTCGAAGCCGCCAGCGGAATAGGGGAACCAGTTGAGACTGTTTTCGGGTGTTGGTGTTGGCGTGGGTTCGACTGGGAGGCCGGTTTCTGAGAGGGGAGCTGTTGAGCCTAGGATATCCCATTCTTCGAATTGGATGGGTGATGCTTCAATCTCAATCTCGGATTGTGCCTGGGCACCATCCTCACCCTCGGATCCATCCTCAGACTCGGATTCAATCTCATCCTCAGAATCACTCCGATAAGCCGAATGTCCCCGGCCCCTCTGCAACTCCCTAGCCAACTCAACACTCCCCCGCGAATAATCAACACCAACCATATCCCCGCGGAACCCACCCCTCTTCCTCAACAGTGCAAGCATACTCCCATTCCCAGTACCCAGATCTAGAATGGAAGGTTGATGCTGAGATTTGGACTTGGATTTGAGCGTGTTGCGTGGGGAGAGAGGGAAAGATTTGCGCGTTAGGAAGTGGAGGACTTTTTTCGGGGGCGTTGTGTTCTGAGAACCAGGATGTCCCTGGGTCATCTTCTTCGTTTAGGTCTGAGTCTGCGTCTGAGTCTTCATTTTCCGTTGGGTTGGGTTGTCCTTTGTTGGCATTGGGTGTTTCGTGGGAGATGTGCGCTAGGGTGCGCGCGTAGTAGGTTTCCCAGCTGGGGTTTTGTCAGTTTTGATTTTTGAATTTGCATTTGGATTTAGGTAATTGGTTAGGTGGGTGGGATATGGTGGATTGGGGCTTTGAACAGGTTTTATTCTCTAGACTGTAAATTGCTTGATCACAATTGCATGTACAGCTGAGCTGGCTCGTCTTGGAGGGGTAAACGTGGGGTCGAGGTATGTCAAGGTTTTGCGCAGGCGTATCCCCGGGAACATGCAAAAGGCAAAGAGTGATACATACTAATCTTTTGTGCCCAGCTCGCTAGGCGAGAGGTACGCAGGATGAGAATCTTCAGCCATTGTCTGCTTGGAGGGGTTGCGGAGGAAAATTTGGGTTGACGCGGATGACGTTCCGCGCTTATCGTTATCTAAGATCAGTAAACAGCCAGTTTAGATCTATACGTAACATACGATTCGAGGTTTATAATGTCATTTACAACTACAATTACAATTAATTGAAGCAATTGAGTGATTGTCCATGTCTATTGAGACTGCGCAAAGGGGGTATTATCATGCCTCTTTCCATCCACCAAACCAAGCATACCATATCCGAAAACAGAGGCAGCTGGCTCGAGTGATTGAACACAGGAAAAGTCGAAAAGCTAAAGCAAAGGCCTTGCCATGACAAGATGTTAAAATGTGAGAGGTAAAAAAAGGGAAAAAAAAAAACCAGCAAAGAAAAATAGCGAAAGTTTGTTGGACGAACGGCCAAGCAATGCAAGAGAACCCAGTAAGCCTCCGCGATAAAAATACAGATGCCGACACAAAATAATCAATTGATTCTTTCGAGGTCGGCTGTTGGTATCAAATCTCGTCCGTTTTGAATACCCGTGACGCCAATGATGAATAGAGGAAATGGAAAAGCGATGGTGACCCGAACGGGGTGTTGAGAAAACCCGTGGGTTTAAAGGGGAAAAAAGTGCAACAAGCATGCAATGGGAAAATAGCGATGAGCGACTGCAAAGCCCGCTTTGGTCATGAATATCATCAAGCCACTCATCTGGAGATGAGTGAGAGAAATTAAGAGAGAATAGAAGGTTGCTGCTGACAGGCCAGGGCGAAGATGATTTTCATATCAGAAACATGAAAATAGAGCGGGTCGTGGAATCGTTTCGAGCCTGGTCAATGACTCGAGGCTGGGATCAGAGGAATTCGTCAATCGATCTCATGATCAGGGGCTCGCCGGCAGTTGGAGGCGAGCGGGGATCGGCCGTTTCGGCGGCGAATTGAACCGCGCTGGGCATGGGAGGGGGTGAGAGGGCTGCCGACCGATCGATTCTGTGGAAGGATGGTGGTGCCATTGGCTGTGGGGATAGGAACTCGTTTGTTCGAGGTGAGAATAGACCACCACTTCGGTCGGGCATGTCGCGCACAAATACGTGCGTTTGAACAAGAGGGTCGCAGCTGCTGACGCTGCGTGGGAGTCCTCGCGGCCGACCTGATGCAGGTTCCACAGATTGGAACTTCTGTCGGAATGGAAGAGGTCGAGGGGACAAACTCCTTTTAGGCGAGTAAGACTTGAACTTGGTGTAGCTGCTGTCGCTGGTGGTAGGACGCATCGAGGGGGTTTCTGGGATGGAAAGGCAGCTCATTGATGGTGCCTGGGATAGTCCACGGAAAGCCGGTCGGTTGTCGTTGGTCACAGGGCGTTCGGCTCGGGCAACCTGAGGCTCCGAGCTTCGTCGGCCAGTTTGAACAAACCACTCCTGGGGGGGGCTTCGAGGTCGATCCACGCATCAACCGCGATCGGAAGTCGGTGAGCTGGTAGATGAGACTCATGTTGGGTCCTACCCACTGACTCCGGCCCTTGACCACTTCGTACATGGAGTTGAAATCCATGTGTCGGTTCTTGTACAAACCATAAGCAATCACCAGAGAGGCGGAACGACTGGCACCGAGCTGACAGTGAATGAGGACCTTCTTTCCACCAGCGATACGGTCATCAATGAGCTCACAAAGAGGGAGCAGGTCATCGAGGATTTCGGAGTTGTGGTCCCAGCTGACATGGAGATATTCGGGTTGTTGCGTAGGAGTTGATGTAATGGGGGTGACGGATTCAGAGTCTGAAGGCTGGAATTCAAAGGCAGACTTGAAGGAGATCTCAGAGACCGCAGTTTGAGGCTCACCAGAGAAGCGCTTCGAGGCCATGGAGGCGTTGCGCCAGGTGCTCATCACTGTGTCATTTCGCTCCTCCTTGGCGGTACTGAAGGGGTTGTTGACTTCCTTGGCGACGTTGATAACCACATCGAACTGGGATGCTTCCTCAGCTGTTGGCTCCAGGTACAGGTAAACGCCGGTATCATAGATCCGGATCGGTCCATCGGGGTATCCACGGTCCTTTTTGCGTGTCGACTCGCGAGAGTCCAGGTGGTCGTCCTCCTCTTCTAACCCGGGAAGCACACGGCGAGAGAAGCCGGATCCATCCATTCCACTTTCCTCATTCGCCGTGGAGAAGCTACGTACACCATGATGCGACATTGGTCGTGGGAGTTGCATACCCCCCTTTGGGGCGAATGATGGGGATGTGATAGCTGCGAGAGAGGGGGAGGATTCTGCATGTCGCAAGGACGGGGTCGGAGGTACTTCCTCACTCGAAAAGGTCTTATCAAATGTAGGTGTACGGATGGTCAGGTTCGCGGGACGGCGCCTCGAACTCTTCTGAGGAATCTGGAGGGGTGATGGTGGGGCCAGATTGTTTGATGAGGTTTCCACAAGCGAGGCAGTAGCAATGGGGGGACGAGATATAGACGGAGGCGGCATCCGCAATGAGAGATTCTTCAGGTTGCGCGCCCGCCGACCAGGAGAGTCTGGACGCGGAGGGGTTGGTCGCGACAGGGGCTCTGGCGCAGTTGATCGGGGAGGAATCTCCATGGGCCGGGTGGCCGGCATGTATTTCGGATACGAGACCGACATGGCCGATGGGGATTCTGGCGATGAGCTCGGGGGAGATGTCACCCCCACCGGGCGAGTCAAAGGGTGAGATGGTCGTGGTCGGGGAGGACTCGGTTGAGGCAGACGTCATGGACGAGACGCTTTCGCGATGTGGGGAAGGGAGGAGGCGCGTGTTAACAGGGACATGGGTTGGGTATTGTAGAGGATGAATGGTGTTTTCCTCGTCTTTGTATCGCGGTAGAGGACCGCCAAAGACGGACATGAATGATGGAAATGAGTCCGGGAAGGACGGTGGACTCGTTTGCACGGGCATTGTTCGGGGGGAGTGAAAGAAAGTCCCGTCTTCACGAGACTATTGCATTTGAAAATACTTGCAGCCTGCGCAAATGGTCTGAAAGGTCAGTGGGAGGAGGCAAGGGCGAAGCCAGGGAGAGGAAAGACGGGAAAGAGAGGAAGTAGAGGGTCATACCAAGTGTGTAAGGTGGTAAGGTGTAAGGATTCGAGAAGGACAGGAAGGTGAAAGAAAGGTAAATCGGAGTCGTTCCTCCGGGGAATGACCGGAATGTGAAGGAGAGATTGAAGGAAAGGGAAAGGGAAAGGAAAAAGGAAGAAAAGAGGCGTATAGGCCTTTTGGACCCTTAGTTGTTTTTATTTAGATGTAATCGATCTCCGATTTCAGGCCCACAGGGTAATTCAATACGCAGTGGAGGTCCAATGGGTAACCGCAGATCGTAGAGGGCTGAGGTTTGAGAAGTGAAACCAATCAGGCCCGAGCCACTCTAATTTTAGGCGCCGGGGGCGTAGGAATGGGCGTCAAATGCACGCACATAAGAGGCTATATAAGTGACACTGCAATACCACTGCCTAGGTACCTCCTACCACTACTGCATAAGGAGGTAGTTAACGAGTGCTTCGTACGGGGACCATACACACTCGGGGATTATCTCACCCCCGATGTACCAAACTTACCTAGTAACAGGGGGCGGCACATAGTGGAGTATTCCTGTGCGTACCCGAGCTTCGCCTCTTGATTCCAAATTGCCTGCACAGATCCATTAGAGGCTCTAGATATGATGTAACTCACTTCAAACGGAGACTGATATTTGTGACTCTAACTGAGAATATCTACTGTATACACATGTGTATACATCTGTCCATACTCTGTACTGTACTGTCACACACGGGTGAACGGTGGGCTGACCCATAGTTTCTCATACTTTTATAGCCTCTGATTGGCTGCAACCAACACTGAAACGCGAACATTCTGAAACACGCCAATTCACTAGCGGCACTTAGCCCTGACCTATACACTTAGTTCAACTCCTCTGCCATCCCTACATTTGGGGTTTGTGGCCCCACCATTGTTGAGCAAGGATCCAAATGTGTTCAATGATCAACCTTTTCCACGTGGACGATATGAAACTGGGACATTTTACGGAGAACGGAGATTGGGGAAGCATTGCGGTGTCTCATCTATCGCCAAGCCTACTGTAAACGGACTGAGATTGGAAACAGATCGACATATCTGCACCAATAATGCCTGCGAATGCGCCTTCAAACGATACATGCGTTCCCGTAACCAAAGTTCCAGGATTGTTCCAGATAAATGAATTCCCCCTTTCCCTGTTCAAGAACTACCGTTTCATCTTCTAAAAATAATCTACGGTGCAATGACAGCAGCTTACGTGGTTCGCTCGATTGTTTCGGACTTGTCTGCTGCGATTGGCTCGGTCCTTTGACTTGCTGCAATTAAACTTGTTCTGCTCCATGCTGATGCTCTTTGTTGATATACTGTCTCGATGGTGCCATGGTTCAACCGTCGGTCTGTTGCAATTATATAGAGCTTTCCAGGATTTTCCACCAATACATGTATCAGTATAGAGTGGCGTGGAGTTGAGCCCCTGTATCGTACACATACATTGCACTATTGATTTTACCTGTCCACTATACTATACTTGGAGCCTTGCCATACCTACGGAGTAAGTGTCATTCACATATCTAATTTGTCACATGTCTAGTCCAAAAGGGCAGTGTGCAAGGACTTAGCTTATACGGGGGCAAAGCATTTGTCAGGCCCAAGGCTAAGGGTTGAGGATTATGTTTGGTTGTTCATCGAGCCCTCAATTATTCTTTGTAGTAATACACTCCAAGGGCTCAGTCGTTATCGCCTACCCTTCGAAGCCTCCATATCTCTCATATCAAACTGGAAGGTTGTTGGATCCCCTCCTCTTCCCATGATCTTCCACAAACGATCTTAAGAAAGAAATTACTTCTTTGTTGTCATCCATTACACCAACGATTTGGCAGATATCCCAGGATACTGATCATCTCTGTAATGACATTGGCGTCATCTGGCCTGAAACCTTCCAGCGGACGTTCACCCATAATCCCGTAGAGAATGCAACAGCCCGGACAAGATGCCCAAGGACACCTCAGGCGGCAGAAGTTCAATAGACCTGTGCGCTCTTGGTTTTGTAAAAAGAACACGTCAAAGTCTGATATCATGACTTGGGTATCGACCACCTTGACTGAAATATCAGGGAGGGACACAGTATCGAGGGACCTCTGGCCCATTCAGACCCTTGTTAAGTCTCTCCACTGGCATCTTCTCGGATTCTCCGAGGCAACTGTATAGTCCCTCGCTGGTCAATATTTCAAAGGTTGAAGATTTGAAAAATATTTTCTTGTAATGCGAATATACTGTCTATTGGTATCTCAACAAAGACAAATTCATTCGACTGGACATGGAAAGGGACATGGACATACTACCATGAACCACAACACACGGATGAATACAATCCAGTCCCAATACACTGCGCATATATAGCCATAGCTACATCGCCGAAAACTTCTAAGTTAAGCTAACATTCTTGGATTGCGCAATATTGCACCTAGCGGCTTTGCTCACAAAAATGCAATGGTAGAAACCATCTCGTCCATCGACGGTGATCTTATATAGCAATTATGAGACGTGAGCCTGTCTAGGATTATCTGCTCTCCCTGCTTTAAGACTCGTAGTATCTTACTTCCGAACACTTTTTGGAGGCGTCAGAGCCACGTACCTTGACCTACGACGACCACGAAATGACATTCATGTTGATAGATGGTATTCATAGCTCTGTTTCTCCTAGGTATCTCCCTTGTTCAACTCCCTCTTACACCTTTATACAATCCAGATGACTCACCTGAGGCAATCGAAAATAGGCAACAAGAGGTGAAAACAATGCATGAAACGGTCACCTCGCTTCAAGGCTTTTGTATAGAGACTGTCCAATATTCATGGCACTGTATACAGTACACATTTATGACTTCAGCTATAGCACCCTCCCGACTGTCATACTCACAAATAAAGCAGGATCTCAACACCACTTTATATAATCCCGCAAAGATCCTAATACTTCGCCACTGCGCCTATACCGATGGCAAATAAAAAGTCGAAAGCTCGGATACCACGCACTCATATTGGCGACAAACACCTCAATGGTCGGTATGAGGTCGTCCACAAGTTAGGCTACGGCAGCTACTAAATAAACCGTCTGACTTGCCAGAAAACGCCTCGAAGCAAGGCACATGGAATTTGTGACTACACCCTATGGTGCGGGGTAAAGCAATCTCAGCCTGATCAACCTGATCATTGTGAAAGCGAAGAAAGATGGCTCTTCTGTAAAAGGACCAGCACAAGCATTGGGCTATATGGGTATGTCTTTGAAATCTGGTCTTCGATGGAAAGTACCTCTCTGCGTTCATCAGATATGGAAAGCGAGCCGATTCGAACTGCCACAGTGTACGGGATCACAACCGACAGCGACAAATTCACATCCCTCTAGATCGACCGGAATAGCGAGTGGGAACACAGCTCGGCCTTAGCAGGGGCTACGTGTCCCAAGAACATGGAATGCAGTAAGATGTAATATACTGGTACCTGGCAGAGCAAGTCTAAGAGTTGCACTGATATCTTCCAAGATATGGATATGCTACGTTAATCTACATACTTCACTATGTCCAATATAAAACACCTCGGGCGGCGTTTCAGGTCTACCACGGTCTCCGGTGAAACAGAACCATGGATCAAACCTTTATTTATTTGTTGGAGAAATATTGAAAATGGAAGATTTTATATAACAGAACCACGCGTTTCAAATTCAAACATGGAGGCTGATGTAGATTCAGGGGTGTATGTGTTATATGATAGGGTTTACTGGCTAAGGTTGGGTTTACATGCACTTGCATGGGTACCTGACCAGGGTATAGCTTCAAGCTACTGTGCTCTGTATAGAGCAATCATAATTCTTAACACAATAATAACAGCTTGATATCGAATATCTTATAGTGCACTGTCCTTCCATAAATAGACAGAGACCTGGGGCTCGTCTATATTGAAATTTTCCCAGCCACAGTGTATACCCACCCTGTGTACCCCGTAAATCTTTTCCTTTTGCTTTCTCAACTTCTGACAGGTCCAGTCGTCACTAGCCGTGACAGCTTGTCAATATCTGAAGACACTCTACACATTCCTGCCTTTTCTCTGGGTAGATTGTGTCAGATTGTGCCCAATTGTGTATGTTCTCAATTGCCGGGATGCCATTCCACTTGCTTTCCCCAGAAACGTCAGGCCCTCCAGGACAATCTAAATGGTGAAGCGATTGCAATCCTGCCCGTACGAGTTCAAATATGGCTGCAGATATGCGGGCCAGTCCTCACTCGCGTTCTTTGTCGCTGCACACTCGCTTCGGGGGCCCCACCAATCGTGAAACGCCCGGCTCTAAACCCAAAGGCTCCTTATTGAATCGAGCCCGGCGATCCGTCCTTAGCTTTAACTCTCCCAGCCCCCAAGCTCCCCATGTCTCCAAGAGACAACAAGACGACCCTCAAGATCGCCCTGATGTGAAGAGAACCATGCCATCAAGCGTGGCTTATTCTAGAACGGAAAATGCTCTGAGACTGGGAACCGACAAGTCGCCAACCATGGACAGTCGCCCGAAGAACGAGGACGTCTTCTTGAACATCGCCAGAACAGACTCTGGTCGTCGCGACTCGATAGGACGCTCTGATTTCCGCCGGGTGAGTCCAACAATGAATCGGAGCCGATCGCATTCCTGGCGGCTCTGGCATTCACGGCCCGACCTTGCGACCTCATTGCTAACCAACCACAGTCACGGCTTGGATATTCCGGTCAGAGTCTACGGTCACCGTCAGAACAAACTCCCACACCCGATCAGCGATATAGCAATATCGACCCCTTGCTTACGCAAAATGTCTCCCCAACCACCCCCTACTCCTCCGTCCACACGCCGGCCTCATCAGCCCATCCCCTAGATGACTCGAGTCGCCTGCGCTACAGTGGCCTGGGATCCGGCGCGCGATCTACGATCGGCACCCCTCGAAGTCGTTTCAGTCGCACAAGTCCAGAGACATCTCCGCGCACACCGTCTGTAGCGGATGACCGACGGTCCTCCTTACACGAACCCCGCTTTAACCGCTATTCGGGACTTTCTACAATCCGAGGCAGTCGACAACCTTCCGCCTCTGAGGTGAACGACCGAGCGCGAACCGAAGCCGAGAGATCGCGCGCTGATGGAACTGAGTCGACCCTATCGACCGCCGCTCCCTCTACAGTGTGGGACGAGCTGGATGACCTCAAAGATCGGATCAAAAAGCTAGAGCTGACAGGGAAGCTGCCTCCATCATCTGCTGCAGCTATGTATAGCAGCCCCAATGAGAGACCGCGCACCGCAACCTCGGCCATGACTACCATATCCTCTTCACCCAAATACCACCGCAAAGCCAGTGTTTCGGCTGGTGATAGCGACTATCAGAACCAAGTCCACCCTCTCCTGCAATCCGCATTGTCCAAGGCCAAGGCTGTTCTAAGCGGTGAGGTGTACACGTCCCTCGAAGCGACGATCACCGATGCGTTGAACCTTTCCACCGCGTTGGGCGTCAATGCCGCTCCGTCAGGCACCGTCTCGGTCGTGAATGGAGGATACACTTCGCCTGAGAGACACGCCCGCCGCAAAGCGGACAGCGTGTGTCGCAGCCTGACTGAGCTTTGTCTGGCATTGACAGATGAGCAATTGAAGAACGCCCGACCACAGTCGAGCCGTGGTGCAGGAGGGCAGCTCCAGCCGTCGAATGGCGTGGAGCACGATCACCGTATGACCATGCCCATACCGACGTATCAGCGAAATGGGAACCAGGAACATGAAGCGAATGAGCGGCGCCATTCCACCACTCGCATTTCCAGCCGACTTGAAGCCCGTCGCGCGTCCTTGGTCAACACTAGCCCAGGAAACACAGACATCAAACAGAGCCCGGCTCAATCTCCGGGCATTCCTACCCCAACCAGTCGTCTGAACCGGATGTCAACATCTCTCCGCAGTCGCAGGATGACAGTCGGCGAGGAAAACGGAGAAATGGAAAACCCGCACAGCCGTTCAGTCTCCAGAGCTACAACAGAAATCGGCACACCAGTCCCTACTCAAGAGCCACCCCGGCAACGATTCCACGGCAGCTCCTTCTCTCGCTCCGTCTCTGGTGTCCAGAACGATTCTGGCCTAGGTCTCTCCCCACGCTCTCCTCAATACCAGTCACAAGTTCCTCAACCACAGCAATCACAGCCTCGAACACCCACCCTCTCAAACAGTCTCTCATTCCGACGAAACAATACCATCCCTGCTTCATACACACCAGCAACTTCCCGCTCCAACATCCAAGCCGGATCCCGCCGTTATGGTCTCTCCCCAAGCTTCTCAACAAACAACGTACCAGTCGAGGATAGCCCCAGATCCCCAGTGGAACTTCCACAAACAAGGATCTCGACCCCATCAAGCAAAATGGCCACAAGCTACACCCCAATACAGCAAAATCGGCTCCGAACCAACAGCCTAGGCGCTCGAAGATTCGGTCTAAGGAATCGCACCCCGGCCACGTCAAATAACAATGTAAACCTAGACGATAGCATTGATTAATGTCGCATATCCACTTCTTACGCAGCGACTCCCGCATATGCCAATTCACTGTGGCTTCTTTTGTTTCCCACTTCTTGTCTTTTCTTTGTACAAAACCATCCATCGGCGGCGTCTCCTACTATTTGTCTCTTTTGTATGTCATGAAGTGCAGGTACATAACGATGAATGAAATGAGATACTCATAAGCCATTAGTCCTTTCACACTCCTACCTTCATATTCATAGAAACTAGATATTTATCCGAGGCACTCGACAATGGGCAAAAAGAGGTGGAAAACAGAGCCCAATGTAGGGCCAAAAAAAATGCATGAAACGGTATACTCGGTTTAAAGCTTTCGTGTAGACTGTCTAATAGTTCATTAGTGGCACTGTCGACTAGCGCGAGAGAGAGGGAAGAAGAAGGATGACGATTTTCAACAAGGAGCAGTAGACTGAAAGTCCTATGGACTAGTTAGGGCAAGCAAACAGAGGAGGCCTGGTCTCTGAGGCAATCGTGGCATGCCAACAGGACAGAAACCAACAGGCCCAGATGAAAGATGGCACAAATCCAGCCATAAAACAAAGATTTTCGGAGAATGAAGGGACCTATACTCGTCTCAAATGAGGACCGATGGCGTCAAGGTCTCAAGATCAGTTGCAGTTTTGGAAAAGCATAGTGAAGTTGGTAATTGTCGAGTTTGGGAGAATCATCCCCCAGTCCCAGGTGGGCCCAGTGCAATATGCTTGGCTTTTTATCAGGTCCGGGGTGCAATGGTTGGAGGAGAGTGATGGGTTCGCCGACAGGAACAAGGAGATATAAATAGTATCTTGGATACAAATCGGAGCGCAACTCCCCCATCAGTAGCATCAGTAGCAACATGCCATTTTCATTGTCAAGTTTTGTTCGATGAACCACATGTCGCACTGGCCGAATAGGTGTTGATATCATCTTAAGAAAAGGGAGACATATCGAGAGACCTGCTGCAATGTCGTTACCGTCATGGATTTCGTCAATTCCTATGAACAGTGAAGCCGAGGAGATATTTTCCTGGACAACAATGGTGCCACATGTGTCTTCTGCTATCGTAGTGTATGTGTCGGAGGAGTAGAAGTCGTTCGGTTCTTCGCTATGGTCTTCCACCGGATCAGGAACAGCAGTGGCCACGTTTCGACCGCATCGTTGATGAACTAATTTCAACACATCCTCGTAGTGTCCATCGTAGAACGTATATGCAGAGGCCTGAGCCATTTCTAAGATTGTCGTATAACAACAACACGGACACAATTGGACCTAATCGGTCTCAATCTGTCAAAGACCTTGCGTTATAAATCAAGTATGATGAAAATATTGTCTCATTACAGCAAGATATGTCATAAGGTGCCTGCGCGTATAGATGCAAATATGAATTTGTTGTTCTACATTCGTGACATGGGAAGGTAAAACATCATGTTCTTCATATATAGGCAATCAATACCCTACTAGTTAATATATTACTCACCAAGTTCTTTTCTACAGTCATCACTATGGGGCCATCTTTTCTTGATATTTCATCAGATTCAGATATGGCATGACACTGTCCTATGACTTCATTCAGGGAAGATATTTCATAGAAGATATTCATATTCTCAGAGAAAAAAAAAAAACAGGAGCACGCGGGGAGGAGATACAATAGAAGAGGTTCAGGGTCAGGCGCGAAAAAAGAGAAATTAGGAGATAGAAGGGTGTCTTTTTTGTTATTTCAAGGGTGTTTGGTGAATGGTGGGGGGAATCGCAGTAGAGTAAAGAGGTGGAACTTGAATGGAGGTAGGGAGTGAAGAGAGGAAAGGAGAATGGAAAGTCGAAAGCAAAGGATCAATATACGCCGTTCGTCAGCGACTGGCGGCGTACAAGGTGGAACGAGGACAAGGAGGTAGAGACTGGGATGTTTGACAGAGGTCGGGAGAAAGACGGGATCAGGGATATCACGGCGAAAGTTCATGCTGGATGAGGAGCGAAAGAGGGAAATGGAGGATTTGGTCTGTCACGATTAACGTAACGAATTCGAGAGTAAGGATCAAGGGACAGTGTTGAGTTAGCGGTTCAATTCAACGCACGATGGCCGAGAAAGGCCACCCGGACTTGGTATCTAATACGCATGTTCCATCCATTCATCGCAGTGAACCTTTGCTTTTTGTGAATAAGAGCGACGTACGAGGCCAGAACACTCAGGAAGAATCAAAAAAGGGAAGAGATAGAGGAAACCTGGAGGCACTTGGAAACGAGGTAGAGAAGTAGAAAAAATAAAATAAAAGCGCTAGCACATGACCGCCGCTGATCGTGACCGACAGTCTCCAAGGAAATCGTAAGGTCAGAGAACACAAAGGGGAATCCGCTAGGTCCGTCTCATGCACACATACCAGGGGAAATCCGAAGGAGCTTACTCCTGGGACTGACTGCGGCGGGTCTTCTCAGCTTCGAGGTTCTCGTAGAGAAGGTAGAGGGCCTTCTCGTTGGCCTGGGCACTGCCCATGATAGTGAACATGCGCTCGCCAGTCTCGTCGTGAGGGGCCTTGGCAATGGAAATGCGGGCTCCGGAGCTGCGGCGAATATCGGTGATCTTGGTACCGGCCCGGCCGATGATGCAGCCAACCATGTCTGCGGGGATGCTGATGTTCTGAGTCTGGATCTCTTCGCCGTCCTCGGTGACCAGAGGGTAGCCGCGGTTGCCAGCGTCGGAGTTGGATCGGCGGTTGTATCCGCCGTCACTGAAGTCGTTGCCGTTACCGGTGCGGTTGTATTGGCGGCTGTTTTGGTAGTTGTTGTTGTTGCTAGCCACGGGGTTGTTGTTCAAGGGCTGCGAGCTGCTGAGAGAAGCACGAACAGCGGGGTTGTAGAGAACGGTGCCGGTGCCGCGCTGCCAGTCGTCGAGCAGGCACTTGCCAATTTCCCAAACAGCCTTCTCGATGCCCTCGGGGGTGCCCTGCACCTCCACGATGCGCTCAGTAGACTGGGGGAGCATTTCCTTCTGCGCGACCATGCGCACACCCGATGCATCCTGGATGTGCTTGATCTTGAGACCCTGTCGTCCGATGATGGTACCCATCTGGTTGTGAGAGATCAGAAGGCGAACGGCTGGAATATGTTAGCGCGGTTCTCGAACAAAATGACTCCTATGGATCTCTTCGACGCCCATCTAAAAGCGAGTCCAAATCCAGATATCAAAAAGCGAAGAAAAGAGGTCACTTACGGTGGGTTCCGTTGTTAGAGACAACGCCGCCCATACCCATCTGCGGGGCGCCCTCCAGAAGACCCTTGGCCACGATCGCGTAGGCCCGAGCAAGCGAGCGCAGTTGACCAGTAACAGTGAGGACACGGTCATGGACACCAGGAACAACCTTGCTCACGCCAGCCTTGACACCGGTCTCATCGCGCAGGTCAGCGACGTTCTTGCCGGCCTTGCCAATAATGACACCGGCCTCCTTGGAGGAGACGATAGCACGGAGAGTCAACTCGGAGATGGCGTATTCCTCCTCGGTCTTGAGAGGCGCTTCAAGTTCACCCTGGTCGGCCAGGTTCTCGTTGAAGTTATCGGTCATGGGCTCGTCCACGACGGTGGTCTGGTGAATTTCGGTAGTCTCCATTGTTGGAGTTGAGGGAGGTGGTTTGAGAGGTGTGTGGTGGGATAGGATGGGGCGTTTCAGGTACGGTCGCGAAATGCGGAAAAGTAGAGTCTTCAAATGAAATAGTCAGGTTTTTGCGCAAGAAAAAGTGAGGCGCGCATAACAGTGATGATGCGCTAAAAATGGCAAGATGAGGGACTTACCGAAGTGGAGAAATGAGGAGGGGAAAACGGCAGAAAGGCGGGAGATATCGAGGAGAGGAGGAGAAGGGAAAGAGGAACGAGGAAGAGGGAGGAAAGAGAAGCACAGGAGAGAACGAGAGAGCAGAGGATAGAAGGAAGAGGTGGAGGAGAAGAGAAAGAGGAGAGAGACGAGGTGGGTGTGTATTAAGCGGACCCAACCGAGTATCTCTGGTCCGGATGACTTCAGTGTGAACATTTCTTCATTTCTTCATTTCTTTATTTCTTCGGTTCTACTTCCTACTCTACTGTCCAGCTAGGAATACAACCTTCTGCACTTTCATCGCGTTAAACAGCTCATAGCCCTCCACCGCCTGCGAAAGCGGCATAACCTTATCGAGCATGAAGCTATTCAAACATTAGCAACCATCCAACATCAAAGAGCAGCATCACTCACCCAAGTTTATGCTGGTTGTTCTTCAGCACCTCCAGAGCCTGGGGCGCAACTGATCGAACAGGACATCGACCCATTTGAACAGTCAAGTTCTTAGAGTAGGCATCATCCCCATTCCAGGGAATCTGTCCGAACTGCCTTAGCGACACTACTTCCATCTAGAGGATAGCTACTCACCTCGCCATTGTGAACACCAACACTGCTGATAGTACCCCAAGGACGCAACAACTCATACCCAGTGCGCAAAGCAGGACTCAAGCCAACCACTTCAATAACAGCGTCCGCACCACGGCCGTTCGTCAACTCTTGCACACGCTTGTCCAGACCAGCACGGTCTGTCTGGAAGTTCCAGGGCTCAGCGCCGAGAGACTTGGCAAGCTCAAGTCTCGACGGGACCGAGTCAACAGCCAGGATATGCTTGGGCTTGTACTCGAGCGCGTTGATGAGAGCACAGAGACCAACGGGTCCACAACCAATGAGGACAACAGTCTGCTCAGCAATCTGCTCCGAAGTGGAGTTTTTGAATGCATTGTTGGCTGCGAACCATCCAGTGGGGAAGATGTCTCCCATGAGCACCAGGTACTTCTCGTCCACGCCCTCGGGGGCCTTCATGACGGAGCCTTCGGCATTGGGGATGCGGGCCTGGTTGGGTTAGCATCAGAGAATACACCAGCTTGGCACGTAAGACTCACATATTCAGCCTGTCCACCGTCCAGGTTGGCACATCCAAAGAGGCTGCTCTTTTCACAGCGAGAAGACCACCCTTGCTTGCAGTAGAAGCACTCCGCGCTATAATGATGTCAGTGCGAAGGCCATATCTTAGGGCCGCATATTGCCAATGCGCCTTGTGAGGGAAAGTTCCTTACCAAGAAGTAGTGAACGCAGTAACGACACGGTCACCCTTCCGGAGATTCTTCACAGCGCTGCCCAACTCAACAATCTCTCCCACGAACTCATGGCCCATGATAAAGCCGGTCCCAGCGGGCTCAATGCCACGAAACATGTGCAACTCACTACAAGCAGATATCGTTAGAATTGAAGCTTATTTTTTTCTTCTCGAAATGAACAATAACCAATCTCACCTTCCGCAAAGCGCAGTATATCCCACCTTAACCACAACATCCTCAGGATCCTGCACCTTGGGAATGGGCCTCTGCTCAACCGCAACCTTATAAGGGCCGTGGAAGATAACAGCCTGCATCATGCCGGATTCTGAGGTAGTAGCAGCCATTCTGTATGATTCAATTAATTAATTATGCCCTTGCTCTTTATACTAGAGAAAAGCTTTCGGCAATTGGCAGAGACTTACTTGGGGTAATAGTGGGGGAGCCCTTAGTCAACCGTTTCGTGTTGGAGATAATTTTTTTCTTCGATATCGAACGACCAATTTATAGTTGGATCCGAGAGAGGAAGATAATTCTATTGAGCAATTTCTTCATTCTCGGACTTCTGTGCGAATTATTCTGGTGGGGCTGTACGATATGTCCACTGTGTTTTGTCTCCACTGGTAGATGATGCCGGAATAGGATATAGATCGAGCCGGCTTCTCTACGGGGTGGTTCTAGAAGCGAAAGGCGGCTCTTTCAATACAGCTGCAAGCTCCCAAATTCTGGGAGACTTGTAGTTTGAAGTGGTGATAAGAGACAGACTTCTAGAGAACATGGCCCCTTCAAGAACTACGGTACTACGGTACGCGGGAGAGTGATGAGCCATCAAACTACATTCAGAGCTACATAAACACTGCCAGGAGGCAGTCTTGCAAATAGCCCATCTCAGTCTCGTCAGGCCCAAGAGAGAATAGGGATCAAATCAAACCAAATGCCCAGAAACGCCAGTTGTAAACACCAGAGCTGGAAATAGAAAAAAGCGTAAAGCAAGCAAGCCGCAAAAACCAGTCTGATAAGAATAATAGAATCGTGATGCTCATAAATGCAACCTGCGCTTTCAAAAGAACAAAAATCGGCCGTCAAGTGCCCGTATCGAAGATCAACACCGAGAGACTCAAGAGTCGCAAGTCGCCCGAAGTGGAAGGTTGACCTCCACTAGCAAACGACACACAGCAACTCCTCCTCAAGAATGAACTTGCCCTCCTTGTATTTCTCGCTGCTCTCATATGCCTTGTCATACTTCCACCCTACCGTTTCCTTGCACTGTCTGCAAGCGATATCGCGGACAATGTGTCGGCCAGTTGTCATATTGCGATCGACGGCCTCGCCTTCCGTGACATTAACGACGTTGTTGAAGAGGTATGCCTTTCCATGCTGGCCTCGAAAGTTCTATATAGATCGAAAAGAGAGTCGCGGGTTAGCAGCGGGCCTTTTGTCATAGGTGCGGGGAAGTAAAAGTATCAGGATAGTAGTGTGAGAAGAGGCACATACCCGACTGATGATATCATTATAATCTGCCAAATGGGTTTTGCACCCTTTGCACCCGAAGATCTTGTTGGCAGTCAAGTAGACGTTGTATGAGAGGCCCATAGTGGCTGTAGTTGTGCAGGCTGGCTGCGGTTACTGGCGGGCGGAGGGAGGTGTACTTCTGTGAGGGTCTGGAGTGAAGTTGAGAGATCCTGGGATGTGAGTCCGAAAAAGCAGCAGAGCTGATACTGATACTGATTCTAGGGGATATGCGGGCCGTTTTATTGAAAAGGGGCCAGCGTGTTGGGCTTGCTTTCCTCGATCTGGAGTTGCCCCGCCCTGGATTTGTTTCGGGAGGGACGACCTGGTTCCTTGTCTCCTTGGATGAGAGGTTATGCTCTTTGAAGTGGGTTTATAGCAGATGATCCAGGGCCTTTGTTGTGGCCTACGGAGAGGGAGAGAGAGGGACGTCGTCCAGCTGACGTGTTGACGATAAGCCGATAAGCGGATTGGAGATTCGGGGATTCGCGGACAAGTGAGAGCAAGTGAACAAGTAGCAAGTGAGAATACGTTTAGGACTTTTAGGATCCAGCAGTGTTTAGGAGAAGGTTCCAAAGTCAAGTGAACTGAGTTCGGGACTTAAAATCACTGGGCTGCCTCAGGCCGCAATCGTCATTACAAGATCCTGAGCTTCCTTTGTCAGGTCACTACGGAGTACGCTACTATATAAAGAAGGTCACAGGGGATATAGTCATTAGCTATTTTCAGATCAATTCAAAATCCCTGTACAAAAAGCGCCGGTAAATGCGCTCCTCCAAGTAATGCTCAAATGACCAAATTACACGTCTGAATCAGCTGCATCCTTTTTTTTACAGAACCCATCTCACACCTATTGGCTTCACTCATAGTCCTTCACATAACGACCAGGCAGTTCCACATCCCACATCGGGCGCTCCACCACGGCAACCTCCAGGAGCCCACTGGATCCCTCGTCCGAACCGTCGTCCGACAAGTTGTTAAGGGGGCGATTCCCAGGATGTCACGGTATTTATAGGTGTGCCACCACCGACGCGGAGGCTGAGCGCCGTCAGTCTCCACCTGCTTCTTCGGGGTATCGGCAGCCCCGTTGGCAGCAGTGAGGGAATGACGCTTCCGTGATCCCTTCTGGGGAGTTGAAGTTTCAACTGCAGCTCCATCTCCACGTCGTAGACGGGCCAGGGTTGTCTCATTGCTGGCTGCGAAGGCCTCATCGTACTCGTAGGCCTCGTCATCCTCGCCCGGAACACGGGGACGCTCCTTGTCCAGTGCGACCCACTCGCCCTGCGATTCGTCACTGCCGACAATCTTGCGGACCTTGGTTCCAAAGTGGATGTCCATCTGTGACTGTTGGATCCGGTCACCGGCGCCGGTGTTGTGCTTCCTCCGCTCCTCTTCGTCATCGTCTTGTGCCTCGCGTTTTCGCTTTGAGGCCTTGACAAGTTGACTCTTCGGGTCTTCGGTGGCTCCCTCAACCTCCTCGGGGGAGGGGAAATCCTGGAGGAGGTCGAACATCCAAAGCCACGACGCTCCGTATAGCCAGAGACGCTCGCGGCCCTCGAAAAGATCCCACATGCAGCCCATGGCTCTGTCTTTGACGCCCCGGAACTCGGCGGGGAGGTATGCCTTGGGGTTGCGTCTTGACCAATCGGATAGTTTTCCATCGCGAGCATCGAATTCGATGAGTTGATGTTCACTTGTGAGTACCATCAAGCGAGACTCTTCGGACTGATTCGTGCCGTTGGCCAAAAGCTTTTGTGTGGGAGCACTCTTGGGGCGGAAAGACAACAAGGTGATTCCTGACTTCATACGGGGGATTGGTGATTCGGTAGCAGCGATAGTCCAGCGCTCGCCCTCAAACGCGACATCCTGGTCCTCGTCATCGGATGAATCGTCGTCAGACTCTGCGGCTCCGTTTTGCTTCACTGCACCGTTCGCACCGGACCCTGTCTCTGTGCCCAGCACCCAGGTGTCGATGCAACCGGAGAGGTCACCACAAGCCAGAATCTTGCTATCATCGGAAAACACCACAGATCGTATCGTCTTTTCGTAGTCACCCAGTGTTCCGTGGGTAGCCTTTTCGTGTCGTACATGCCGTGTGGTTCTCTTGAGCTTCGCGAATTGCGGTGCCACTTGGCTCTTCTCGGTGGGCGCGGAGGCGGGCTGGATCCGTGCCATGTAGACCTCGCTGTTGGGACGGACAATAGAAACCCAGCGACCATCTGGGGAGATAGTGACAAGGCGAGCACCGTCGTCGGAAAGCGCCTTGGGGACTTCGATCTTTTGGATACGCAGGGCACCCTTCTCATCGCCCTTGCGGCGACGGAGTGCAAACAGCTTCAC